CTGGCCTGACCGTGGAGACAACGATGAAAGTAGGGGAAAGAGGAAAAGAGCAAGAAAATAAACGTGGGATTCCCAATCGCTGATAACTGATAAGTCGTGAATGTAGAATCGGTGCGAGAGCTATTATTCTGTGGCCACTATAGCGGTGCACTAAAGTGTATGGCGGGTTACGGAAAACTATTTTTCGCAGGAATAACGATCCCGCTTGTACATTGATTTTCAACAGCAGAAATAAATTTAGAATTATTAATAAGTGTTCAAATACTGACTTTTGCCTGCCGAAATACTAATTCTGGGTACAGAAAGGTTAAATTAAGTAAAAAGTCACATAGCTACCACTTTACGCAACAATGTGGACGAATTTAATTACTCACCTTGCTGTTCTCTTCCTTCTTATCAACTTGGATTTTCTCCAGGGCGCCGTCTGGCTTCGTTTCAACACCATTGTTTGATTTAGAACTCTCTTTATCTTCATGGATGCTATTTTTGGGCTCGGAAACTGTCCTGGATTCGTTACAGAACTCTGCCTCGGAATTTGATTTCCCTGAATTTTTATCTTCTTTCTTCGAAGCAACTGGAGCACTGTCAGATCTGCTTTTCGAGATACAGTCTTTATGAAAATAGCCGCAGCAGAAACCTTGGCACTTGAATGTCTCACCGCTTTTCTCACAAAACACGCACACCTTCTCATTTTTGAAACCCCTAGAAACATAAATATAAAGGTTTTGAGTGTTAATAGAGATAAGAGAATAATAAAATGAGGAAAAAAATATTCATAACCTGAGATTTAATAACATGGGCTCTACTTTCAGCCATACATTTTCTTTTCCATCATTTTCAGCTTCAATATTTGTTGATAATAAGAAATTAAAGAATAGCCTCCTAGCGATAAACTGAGAAGGCATTACTAATCAAAACGAACATTAATTAAAAAGACTGAAAAGCAAAAGAACTGAAAGTAAAATTTTGAAAGTAAACTACAATTTAAGATTAACCAAAATCTAAAATGAGTATAACATCATGACAGCACTGCTCCTTACGACCAGATCATTTTTTGTTTTAGACAACAGCAATCTGTTTCTCTTGCTCTCAATTAACCCCTACGTATTATTATCCTGCTCTACAGTTGTGATATCGTCACCTTCCAGCCAAAGTATCACAAGCGCCATCCGACGTTTCAAAATTTCCGCTGCCATTTTTTTATTTTCAAAGAAATTGTTGGTTGAATCTGGTTGAAAATTTCACTGAATTTTATCGGCAGCAAAAAGAAAATTTGGTGACATTTTTTGACAGCTTTGTTAAACAGTTTCTCTGTAAAAAAATAAAATGGCTGCGGAAAAATTTGAAACGTCGCATGGCGCTTGTGATACTTTGGCCGAAAAGTGACAGTATAAGCATTTATTTCTTGATTTTTTAAGCGAATATAAATTTCTTGTGCAGCTATACAAACGTATCAATGGGCCTGTTGCAAACTTTTGCAAGAGCAAAAATAAGAGTTGTCACTCATAGAAAATGTTTCAAAAATCACGATGAGCGCATCGGCAAAGTCTGCATGCACTCCTTACTTCTCAATTTGCATGAGAAATTTGCATTTATTCGAGCTTCTTGCTTCAAAAACGGTACCACGGCACCGGTGAACATTTCGTTAGAGAAGTCATTCCATCCAACCCCTGCTCACAAGGAGACTACGCAATATTCATTGTAACCGACGCCAATCCGCAAAAACACATGTGACAAGATGATAATTCTGACCACATGATAACAATTGGCGTGTTTACATTCACATTTTTCTCGCTTTGATAGATATCCATCTTGATTGACCTCGTGCTCTCCTCAACTTGCGCGCAGAAGCGTCGGCCATGTTGAGGAGGGATTGAATGGAATGACGCCTCTAATGAAATGTTCACCTGTGCCATAGTATCCTTTTTGAAACAGGAAGCTTAAAAAAACGCAAATTTCTTAGGCAGATTGTGAAGTTAGGAGTGCATTTCAAAGTTTGCCGATGTGCTCATTGTGATTTTTGAGACATTATCTTTAAGGAACAATTTTTACTTTTGCTCTATCAAAAGTTTACAGCAGGCCCATTAAAACATTCAATAAAATACACCTTGATGCCTAAAATTAGATTTTCGAAAGAGACAGCTAAACATGTGCAGATGAGATGGATAACCATCGAAAGGAACCCAGGGTCACTCTGACATCATTCTAATAGTCATCAATGGAAGCGTCCGTTGAGTTCCTTGAGGCATGCCTAAGCTAGTCCATTAAGCTTGGACGTTTCAATGCATACCTGAACAAGCTGTTATTTTTCCCCCTTTTGGAGACTGCTTCCACAATAGGGGGTGGGGAGGAAGAGGACAGTCTATCGCTGCTCTCTGTTACGGCCGGGTCAGAGCTGCATGGGTCACCTTCCTCTTCATTTTCCTCGCTTTCTTCTTCACTTTCTTTTTCTTCCTCCGAAGAATCATCCTTCACAAATCGTGGTTGGTACCTAAAAGAACATGAAAAGATAGCGTCAACGTTGCTCGAGTTAGGTGAGGGAAGACACTGGCTATATAGCAATGGAAGGTATCAGCAGTTTTTCCCCCAAAATTACTTACCTTCAAACATGTGGACTAAAATCCATATTGGCCACTTTGGATTAAGTAGCTGACTTTAGTAGCATCTTTGAAGTGGCTAACGTTTTTTTTCTTTCCTTTTTTTTAAAACAGAGTTAAAAATTATTTTGGTTTTTCCTTTTATTTGTTCCATTTTGAAAGACAAATATTTCTAAAAAGCAGGAAAAAAATCAAAGCTACTAACTTGAGTTTTTGATTATCATCCATCGCCAGCCAAACTTTCCGCAGATATTTCTCAATATCCTCTTCTTTCAGCTCGGGATGTTCATCTGATAAGCGATCGAAAGTTTGAGAATAGTACAAGTCGAAGTCCGGTCCGAAGTCCTGCTTCTTCTTCTTTCGTTTTTTCACTGGACTCTTCTGCCTTTTTGCCTTAGAGACTGATTCAACCTCTTCGTTTATCTAAAAAAAAAAAAATTAAAATATGAGCAAGTAAAAAAAATTTGAAACGTTTATTTGCTCCCTTACAAAGCTTCTCCAATCAAATACTCATCACCGTTATATATTATGCATAAATACTAAATGAACAGAAGATAATCTGCCACAGGAAATGATAAGATGAAGTGAAATGCAACGCCAAAATCCCACGACAGATTGTAATCCCTCTTGCAACTCTTGCGGTCATTAAAATGAGATGGGTTTTATGAATCGACTTTGAGACAAGGTAGGAATTCAAGGATTATGATTCATGTTTCTCATCATGATCATGATCAGTAGGGACTCGAATTCCCCAAAGAATAATTACTACAAACCAGGAAAGAGAACTGCAGGGCTCCTGGACTTTCCTCGTTTTCCTGGTCGATAGACACCTTGTATGATGCGATTCGTGTTTAAAAAATGCTATTGCAGTAAATGTAAACAGACAAATGTTAGAGTATGCAATAAAAAGTAGCAAGTTAGAGTTCTACCTCTACTTCAGTGCTCTCCTCATTCGACCCACGTTCTTCCTTCTGTTGAACAGATTTTGAGTTGGTAGGAATATCTTTCTTCCGGTACGCTCTCTTGACTTTTTCCTCTTGCACTTTAGGTGCCATTGATGGATCCTGAAATCATTTAATACGTACATCAACAAAGCATCAAAAGTATGGCTTAAAAATAATTTCTTCTTTGGAAAAAAAAAGAATTTCGATGAAGAAAAAAAAATGATCTGCTTTCTACTCTTTAAAGCTTTTCAAGAAGATGTATCTTTTTGTAGCTCTCCAGACAAAGGAAACTTCATTCCAAGGTTGCGAGACTGGCTCAAGCAATTCAATTAGCTAATGACAAACGTATAACTGCGATTTCTGCTAAACTTTTGCTGGCTTTAGAGTGTAAACAGTGGAAAAAACCAATAGAATTTTCAATTCGAAAAACTCAACAATTTTCACGTAAAAATACGATTTACAGGTGGTATTTTCGCAACATTGGAATGCAGTTACATTCCTATGATCAAGAAACGATAGATGATCAGCGATGAAAAAAATTCAGAATATTCCAAGTAGCAGTTTAGTTTGACCTTTCACTATCCATTACAATAAAATTTAATACTTGAATAAATATACATTTTTGGCTCAGCAGCTGCCGTTTTATCTTATGAAAAGATCAGTTTCCTGAAAAAGCATGAAGTCCAAGATAGAGTACACCTAGGTACTTCTGATTTGTCACTTTTAGTTGTCAGCCCAAAAGGTTAAAAAAGAAAAAGAAAAAAACGTTTTGTAGGGTTGCTACAAAATGTATGAAGTTAATTTCCCACGCACAATTTGATAAAATTTCCTGACACTTAAAGATACACCAGACGGCTAAAAAGACAACTAGAAATAGTTTTTGGGCAATATTTGTTGTTTGAACTGTAAACCTATTCTAAAAAACAAATGAGGGTGACTTAAAAATCTGATCCTGACACTTTCATCAATTTTCTTGGCATTTCGGTTGCCAGCCCATGAGGTTTTTTTCCAAAAAAAATATAGGATAAAAATCAATATTTTTGACACAACTGCTACTGTTTTGTCTTGAAAACAGTACCTGAAAAATAAAAAGTCCAAGAAATGATGTACTTAGAGTCCCTTTATACTGAGAGTCAAGACAACACCCCCTCATGGAGTCACAAACGGGAATAAAGATTACAGAAAGTGAACATTTTTCGTAATTTTTGATCGGCCCATTCTCAAATTCCTTTCTCCGTTCCTTCTGTCATTCCGTTTGTTCCTTGCCAAACCCATAATTCCCTGGTCCATTCCAGATTATAATCTTTGCAATCGCTGAGAATGTAATCTTTATTCCCGTTTGTGACACTGTGAAGACCTAAAATACGGGAACCAATCAGATATGGATTCACATTGTCTTGACTCTCAGTATAAAGGGACTCTAGATGTACTTACCTTCAATTCATCGCTTTCAGCTGCCGGCTCAATTGCTTTTAGCTTCCAATAGGCTCGCTTGACTCGATCTTTCTTTTCTTTTTGTAAGCGCCGCTTCTTGAGTTGCTTTTTCATTTTAAGCACTGCCAATTTGTTTTGGGGAAGCATCTTCTCCTTCAATGAAAGCTTCAATGGATTTCTGCCTTTGCTCGTCTTCAATTTGTACTTCCCGTTGTTTTTAATAATTGTAAGCTTTTTTGGGGGCGAGTCTGTGCTCATTGGGCTCGTCTCAGGAGGGGAGGGAGAAACAGGCTCCTGAAATAATCATCGATTAAGGCTGAGACGAATTTCTATGCTTTTGATCATTTTAATCATGATATTATTCTTACAATTTAGAAAATAGAATTGAATATCCTAATATCCATGGTTTGGTGCAGAAAATGCTCATCCAAGGTGTCTACTAAAAATCAATTTGGATTTTCCTGATATTCTAGATTCAATCTCCTGTTAAGGCTTGATTAAATTCACAATTCTTTGAAATTACGACAAACCAACATACTTGTTGAGTCGAATCAAATGTTTCATACATGAATGAGCTATAAACTGCATGTAATTAAAAAATGCTTCACGCACTTGGCATTTCCGAATCTACGACCGACTTTCTTGATGTTTACCTCATGATAACCAATTTCCTGATATTTGCCGGTTTTTACTGACAGTAGACGTTTAAAAATCTCTGGTTATGTTTCACTTTTATCTAGGAAAACTAATCAACATTTTTCCTTGGTTTTTTGGGGGTGCTTATTCTAATGAGTGAAGATAATTTACAGAAAATTTCAATAGAAACTGTTGTCTAGTTTTCCTTTTAAAAAAAAAACTAAGAGCAGAGACTTGCTGCATGACAATCTGAGACACAAATTTTTCAACTTTAGCCATCGATACGTTGCTCTCCTGTACAGGGAATAAGTATCGACCGATCTCACATAAAAATCATAAGTACTTAAACACTGAGAATGAGCAATCTGCTTCTTGATGTTCAGAAATTGCAGCTTACTTATTGCATATTGTTTACTCTAATCTTGGGTAACCTCGTTCAGATAATAAAAGTAAAATGAAGCTATGATCAGAAGTTTGAACAAAAAAGAATAGGAATCACTTGGACAGGCATGGAATACGTTGACCTCAAGTTTATTTTATATAAAATTAACTTACCTAATCAACTCATCTAAGTAATCAACTTATCTGATCAACTTATCAATCACTTTAATCAGGAATTCCACTTTAGATTATGTTTTCCATAAATGACTTTGTTCTGTTGAGGGTAACATATTTATTTACTCTTGATAACAGCAGGATTTTTTCATTGAATTGTACCACAAAGCATAATAATCCCGAAAGAATTTCTAAATCCGTCAAAGCTGCCACCGAGAAAAGAGGGAAATTTTCTCTGAACGACCAAGTTTTCAGAGTTAAAACTCTCAAATCTAACGGTAGCCCCACTCCTGGTAAGCCTAAAATTGTCAATAAATGCTGTCACTGAATAAATCATTAGCCCGTGTCACACTATCAAAACTAGACATCAAAATATCTAGGTCAGGTGTTGTGATTGGCTTATTCGATGACTTAGACCAATCACAGCACTTGAACTAGACATTTTGATTGAGTATTTTGATAGTGAGAAACAGGCTATTATTCACTCGAAGACTGACTCAAGGGCGCTAACAGTTTCTTTCCGGTAAATTTTACCCAGTTGATTCTGCGTCTAATAAAGGAATAGTGTGCTGTGTATATTTTTACCAGTGCGCTTATAGATGGTTCAGCAGAGGCTTGAGAGGTTGTAGGATGTGATATCTGATGACTGGATGGAACTTCTTCTTCCATGAGGAGTTTAAGTAGATCTTTCTTTGTTCTTTGCACTTCCATGGGGTATAGGCGTTGGAAGTGCTGGACTCTGTCGTCAGCCCTGGGAACATATAACAAACAGCTTTTACAGATTTACTTTTAAAGCTGAAGGAGGAGTCATTTTCTTCGAAATCATAAGCCTTGATTAATTTGAGCACGTTCGGTGGAATCTCCACTTGAATGGACCACTGATCAAGATACCAATTTACGCACTATGTGTTTCCACTCCAAAATTTCACGTATAACACGATTTGCGCACTAAAATCACTAAAATTCACTTCGAACCATGATATTAACCATTTTACTTAGAATTGGTTATCAAAAATTATGATTCCCCACTTGCAAGAAAAAAAAGAGTCTACTTGAATCAAATTGCGCACTATGCCGGTTTTGGCAGGCTTCTCAATGAGCAATGTTCCTTCCCTGCTCTATGGCATCCAAAGTGTAAATAATGTGTAATAGCTAAACCAAAGCGTCGATATTGAGGTTATCATTTTTATTTTGCAAAGACGGTCACAGTATCATTTAACGTCTGATTTAACTAAAGTAGATTATTGTTTCTATAAGCGAGAAGTTTGAATTTATGCATCAAATATCTTGGTCAGGAATTGCTTTTGGTAACTTTTGCTGCGCAGATAGTGAAATGCATGAAATTTTGATGAGGAATCATACATTACAATGCTTAAATTCTTACCATGTATAGTGATCTATGGAGAGTTTGATGATTCTGAATATTTTCTTCAATGTACATTTTCCAAGGATATTTACCTCTTCAACTCAAAATTCAGCTTTAGAACACCAGTTCATGAGCTGTAAGACTGGTTGGATTGCGAAAAAACTTGTGAAAAAATCAATTTGTCAGGAAGAGACATATAGAACAAGACTTGATCAATCAAAATTTGCCAACTGAAGACTCCCGCATTGTTCAAATTGTCTGAAGCAGTGCACTCTTTTCACAAACATTCAAACCTTATACCCATCAAAAAAATTACCCTATTCCACATTTTAGAGCTTTTCCTCATTTTCATCGCAAGCTTAGGCACAAGATACCGATTTTACTCCTGTCTAGAAATTTCTTCAAAAGAACACAACCTTTACGATCAAAGACTTCCATGCTAAGCAAAGTTTGAAACATTTTCAGTGACTGATAAACTTTTTTTCCACAAATTCTCTCTTTGATCTTGTCCTTTTCTTGTTGTTATTCTTTGTATTGGGTTTTCTTTTTATTAGTTTGTAACAGTAATTGTATTCTACATTTGAGTAGAAATGCCCACTAAGCAAATTAAATTAATAAATCAATAGACAAGTAAATATTCCAAGACACTGAAGTATATAAAATAAGTTACCTTCCTAAGAACATCAAATGTTCAGCTTCTGAGACAGCTTGTTCCCAACCACCTTTGGTGTGAGGTTTTATGGTGAATTTTATGGCGAACGCTGCTTTTTTTCGAGGCTGCAAGAGGTGAAAAAAAGTGAAGAGTTGAATGCAATGGTGAGAAACGATTTCTGGTGAAGTCCTAGATTTAAAAATCAGTTATGCTGAAGTAACGATGTGTACAGATAAAATTTTGTTCTTAAGTACTATCCATTGGGATTCTTTAGATCTCAGCAATGAATTTCCAAGCATGTAGTCAATCAGGTATTTGGAATTGATTCCCGACGTTGAAATTTGAAAGAAGACCGGCGATTCAAGAGAACAAGTGATGACAGCAGATTTTTGCTATTGAGCAGGTGCATCGATGTCAATACAAATGAATGACAACAGAAAATGAGTTTGTCTTAACTAGCTCATTGAACTTTTCTAGCTCTTTTTAGGTTATATTGAAATAAAATGAATTGTAAGTGAAGTTAATTACATTGAATAAATTCTTGAAATTAGACTAAATTATTCTAGGGCTATAAAAGAAAAATGGTTTTAAAGAATAACTTACGTCTTGGAGCACTTTCGACTGTAAATCAAAGAACTGCTGCTTGTTGATGAATTCTAGTAAATTTTTGGCAGGGAGCCAACTGTGTCTTCCATTATCACCACAGAACTGAAGGAAATACCACTTAGAAGTGCTTCTCCCTTTAGCTATAAACAGAAAATGAATATTACTATACAGTAAATGAAGAAAAAAGTAAATCGAAAAACAAATGAAAATTTTTTAACATACTTATTATCTGTATTAAAATGTCAATGATTTAGGGAAAAGAAAACTGATAATTTAAGGGTATAACTTTGAAAAATTTCACCAACAATGAGTAAGTTTAAGTATTCAGTAAAGTAATAAAGTATGAAGCAAGTTTAATAGTATATAACAAAAGAATGGGTTTGAGTTGTGTGAAATACTGAGGAAAAAATCGACTATTGTGGGTTCAATTTTAAGTTTAATTCTATAAATTTGAATTAAAAAATTAAAATTTTCATTTATGGTTTAAGAATTTCTGAGTTTCCACCTTTTCTTGGATTTTTGATTAAATGATTAGCAATTAATTATTTTTGATATCTTGGTTTGAAGTTTTTAGGTAGTAAGATTAATAATTTTAACCTCAGTTTTATCAGTTTATTTCTATTTGCAAATATTTCTTTGATTTCTTTTGAGAAATCAATAGCAGAGGAGCAGAAAGTTCTCTGGAGCAAAAATAAGACGTAGTATAAGCCTTTATAATTTCTACTTCCTGGTATCAATCCTCCTCATCATTCCGCAAAAAAGTCAAATGCACACATAGTACAAAAACAGTTTTTAAGAGACATGCTTTCCTGGTTGTTCCCCAGTTTCTTTTTCATTTTTCACTTTGAAAAAGAGGTTTTGTCCTGAAAACTTTTCCCAAAATACTAACTTTTTACGCAAACGTGTGTTCTGGAAACAGGATCGTTCATTATGATGCAAGGCCAGTAGGGGAATTTTCCAATTCCACCCCAAGCTAAGTCACCGACAGCCCAAATTTTTTCCGCATCTCCAACAAATTCACCACCTGGTATTATTGAACTTGATGGAGTTATGGGTGTTGATGCACTGGCTGGAGTCATCACAGATGGGGTCGCTTTGATTTTGGCGTCGTGAACTTTTGTACTACCTGAAGACAAAAGAAAAGATTACTAAAAAACTCTGTTGCAAGTTAGGCTACTTTAATGACCTTCAAAATGCACAGAAACAGGGCCACAAACCCTAGAAGAAAAATATTCAGAGCCAAGCATTCAACTTACAGTTCTGATATGTATGAGGTTTGCTTTACACACTCATTATAAAAGGGAAAATTTAACGCAAATGAGTTTTTCCCCCCTTACGATGAGTACGTAAAAGCGCTGAAGGCTATGACTTTACGCCAATTCCTGTGTTTCAAATTTGAGAGGTACTCTATGTATACTGCATAGCTGAAGAAAATTCTAACCTTCGAAATTTTCACTCAGTAGCTTTCCAAATTTTTCCATCCGCTTTTCGCTAAAGTCTCTCCAGTTTCTGGAGTTTTTAAAACCTCCTCTTCTTGTTTAAGAGGCGGCGTAAGTAAATACCTAGAAAATGTAAGCTAAAAAGCTCAGCAAATACTTGGCTGAGGCACAAATATTGCAAATCTCTAGGCAGATCAAAATGAAAACCTACATACCTATCCCTATTTTATTGCCTAATGGCTTGTAAGTATTAATTATTTGTGCTGGCTCATTTGTTGTTTGTATAATTTCCTAACACTAATTTATTTACATTACAATGGGTGGTAGGTTACATTAATTCTGTGACACATATTTGTGTATACTGCGAGACGACGAATCAATTTGAAACAAGAGAGGAATGGGTCTGAGGCACATGAGAGATATAGCCAAAAGTAAAGGCTTCCAGCAGGTAAATTTGCACGAATATCACGATGAACATAGAAAAATCTAAAATCAACTCCTTGGCGCACATTCTGCGTTTCTACATATTTTGTAACTCGCTTTTTTAAGTTTACCTCATCCAGGGGTAATTTTTCTTAGCTGCTAGCAATTAGAATTGTGCAGAGAGACAGGAGAGAACCTAACCTAAAGAAACAAACAATCTTGCAGACTGTTGTGAATCTTCTTTCCGTTTGATTTAAATTGTTTTGAAGCTTTTGTTTTTGTGAAACAAAGAAAAACAGAAAGAATAAATGCTTGAACAAGTTTGCTAGATTGTTCACAGTTCCATGAGGCAAAAATATTTGATCATGTACTGACGAATAGGTATTTCAAGATTAATGCATAGTTAAAGCAAAGCAAAGAAATCTGCAGGAATATAAAGAGAAAAAGCTTGATACAACTTTGAAAAACTTGAGATGGTTAAAATATCTCTGCAAAACATAAAAACTTACAGATGATTAGCTGATGATTTCACTTTTGAAACACTAAATGATCTAACTAGGGTTGGCTTTTTGTAGGTGAAATTGCATTAAAATTATGTTCACTACATCAGAAAAGTCTAAAATCCACTCTGTAATTGTCCATTGTACATTGAAGAGTGAAACACAAGGTGCAAATTCAAGCAATGATATATTTTCGGCATCAAAATTTCATGTAGAACAAGATTTGCACAACAAAAATTATTGAGAGTTGCTCCTAACTACGATACTTAGATTTTTCAGTGCATGAAGTCAAATTTCCGGCTAAAAAAAAACCATGATCTATTCAAGTTAAATCACACATTACTTAGACATTACCGTAATAGTCTCTGCAGTGTGAAAACATAACATCCTTCATCTCTGCACTTTGGCTCAGTTGTTGCACGTTTACACTAGGAACAACATATGACTGAGCAGGAATATTGCTTGATTAAGAAGCTGACAAAACTGTTCTAATGCGCGATTTAATTCACGTAGACCCTGGTTTTTCTTGAGAGCAGGAAATTTCAATTTTTTTTAATCTGTGCTGAATATTAAAGTGGATATTTTGATTAAAAGTTAACATCAAAAACATTTGCTGCACAAATCGTTTTCTGTGTGAAATTTTGAGAAGGAAACATGTATCAGAATACTAGAATTTATACCTTGTCCAATAGTCCATTTTTAATTGTTCAAAATTCGGAAACAGTAATTTCTATGAATAACTTGCCTGAAGGTGTTTTAACAGAATTGGCTCCAATATCTTCAAGACGAATGGAGACAGAAGTGCTTCCGATGGCTTCATGAGAAACTTCTGTGGCGGTCGTATTCAAGTTTGAATCAGGAATATCACCATCAATTTGGGGCGTGATGGACTGTTTTGGCCGTCCACGTTTGGCAACTTTCTTTCCGCTTCCTGGCAAATTTGCACTACAATTTGCTTTGACTATTGCGCTTTCATTAAGTGAACAAACAATGGTGCTTCCAATGACTTCATGTGCTACTTCTGTGGTGGTAGTTTTTGATTTTGCATCCGGCATGTCACCATTAAGTTGAGGTGTAATGGATTGTTTTGCCCGTCCACGCCTGGCAACTTTTGTTACACTTCCTGGCAAACTTGAACTACAGTTTGCTTCAACTGTTGCGCTTTCATCAAGCGAACTAACGGCAGTGTTTCCAATGGCTTCATGAGAAACTTCTATGGTGGAAGTTTTCAAATTTGCATGAGGAATGTCACCATTAAGTTGAGGCGTAGTGGATTGTTTTGCCCGTCCACGCCTGGCAACTTTAGCTCCACTTCCTGGCGTGCTTGCACTAGAATTTGCTTCAACTGTAGCGCTTTCATTAGGCAAACTAACAGTAGTGTTTCCAATGGCTTCATGAGAAACTTCTGTGGTGGAAGTTTTCGAGTTTGCTTGAGGAATGTCAGCATTAAGTTGAGGCTTAATGGATTGTTTTGTCCGACCACGTCTGGCAACTTTTGTTCCACTTCCTGGCGCGCTTACACTAGAATTTGCTTCAACTGTTGCGCTTTCATTAAGCAAACTAACAGTAGTGTTTCCAATGGCTTCATGAGAAACTTCTGTGGTGGAAGTTTTCAAGTTTGCTTGAGGAATGTCACCATTAAGTTGAGGCGTAATGGATTGTCTTGTCCGTCCACGTCTAGCAACTTTAGTTCCACTTCGTGGCGCGCTTGCACTAGAATTTGCTTCAACTAATGAGCTCTCATCCAGCGAACAATTAGGTGTTGTACCTGAAACTACTTCACCTGCAAGAGAGCTTTGAACTTTCCTCTTACCTCTATTGCTACTAGCCTGCAAGGAGCTTTCAGGCGTTGTGATAGAAATTTCGCCATTTACCATGATTCCGGGAGTTCCAGCATTTTCAGCATTGGCAAGCCTGTTCGATGAAGTGCTTGCTCGTTTCCGCAAAACCGCCTGTTGTTTTGATGGTTCAGGAGCTTGGCCATTTGTAGTACTTGCGCAAGAGCTAGGCGAGAGGAAGTTTTTGACATTTTTGCCATGGGCCACGAAGTCAGACGATACTTTAGGTTTTCTTGCGCGACCATACCTACTAGAAGGAGTAGTAGAGGACGATTTTTCCGGAGTTTTGGCATCATTGATTTCTGAGGCGGTTGGTTGTGTTGTCTCCACAGCCATAGCTTTGATTTAGTTTATCCGGGCGGATTCAAGAAAAACTAATTACTCATTCTTGATTTCATCCCTGAAACAAAGAAATGAAGAAAAATTTATACCAAGCAATTAAAGCTACACATTCAGGGCAAAATTCTCCATGATCATGATTCCAAAATTTTAATAGATACATTTACATTCGCTTCTTTCCTTCTTTACTATTTGTAAAATTAACATTTTCTCCATGGCTGAATATTATTTCCGATACATTTGACTTTTTCAGCCATACCACAAATTTTTGGTATAGCGCTGCTTTACTCTTAAGTGCCTCAGTTGAGGAGAGTTCGATGTGGGTAAAGAAATCAAGCCTATCGACAGAACACCACCAGTTTCACTCTTATTAGAGCACATCAGGCGAACATAGCCTCAACCAAACGAAGACACTCAAGAGTAAAGCAGCGCTTTACCAAAAAATCATGAGATGGCTGAAAAAGTTAAATATATTGGATTACCATTTTCTATTATAGTTGTGAATATAGTTTCTTTTCTTTCTTGACCCACACATTAAAGCCTGGTTTAAGGGTGTGTAGCATTGTATTTTCTGTCTTGTGTATTCATGTTATTTAATTTCCTTAATAGATGAACTAAACTAAACTGAACTGATCAAAAGAAATGGCCAAGTACATGAGGGATTTGCAACAGACGGGACAGCGAAAAGATCACAAGCGCTGATACATTCTCGTCTTCTGGTATAGCCTTCAATTTTGATCCATCAGCTACAGCTTGCTTTTCTTTAGGTACTTGACTTGAAAATTCGCCTCCAATTACACTCAAATTAGCACCATTTAATGAGTATATAAGTGCCAAAATGTTGCACTGGAAGTTAGTTACAAAAATATTTACCCTATATTAACAGCAAGTAGGAGAATCACCTAAAAACTGAGATGGAAGTTCCCTTGCTACAGCTCCATTATTTCATAAAAATGCAACAAGTAGGATACTTACAACTCTGTTGCATCTAATGATAGGGTGCCTCCCGTAAAAATCATGTTCAAACACAAGCAGATCTCAATTTGACAGTTGATCTAAGCTCAGTACATGCGTAAGTATCGATTCTAAAAAGAGGATCTATAGGTTAGGTCCATGAGCGTTAGATTTAACAACAGACCTCTTGGACTGTCTTGGACAGACACAAGACAGAGCACTGAATGATGCTGTTGAATAATAAATGGGAGATTTGAAAAGGAAAGAGCGTTTACTTAAGTTAGGATAAATGAACACTAGGGATGGTATGGAACCTCCTGGACACAAAGCCAAATGCGAAGCACAACTAGGCCTCCAAAAGAGTAGCTTCGCAGATGGAGGTTTGAGCTTGAGGTTGATATCAGAGATGTTTTTCAGTCTTTTAGAACTAGCTAATTAAAATCTTTGGTAAAAGTAATGTAAACGATTATAATTACACAAGCTTTACTGATTTTCAGTGAGGCAAGCTTCTGTAAATGGACGACGAGCATTCCAGTGTTGACTGCATAACAATTTGGGATCGGTGCTATATTGAGAAGGGTGAAATTATATTTGGGGCATATTTTGAAATCCGTCAACTTTGTATAGATAGCTGAGGTTCAGTTTCGAATAATAAACGAAGAAATTACTGGAAATTCGTTGCAAGCATGTGTAAACAAACTACAGTAACTACATCACACAGTTTGATTGCTACATCAGCATGTTATCAGCGAAGGGAGTGAGGGCCTAAATCCATGATAAAGTGGTAGCTTTTGATTAAATTACCATAGGAAAAAGAGAGCAGTAAACTTACTGTGGAAAATATAGGCATTTTTAGAACGTTGAAGAATTTATCACACTGTTTTTCACTATCAAAAGCGTTACACAGAAATTCCCGCTCAAAACACGTCAACTGAAAAACTTGCCGTGGAAGCAGCGGAACTCTAGGAACTTTCAACCCATGCTGCTCCCTAGCAGCCAATGGTGAAACTAGTAAGTAAACAAAAAATCACAAAACAAAAGAGTGATTGATAAAAAAATACACAAGTGATATTTCGTGCTTTATGTAATTCGAGAATTTTTTCGTTTTTATTCCTAGATTTCTCGGTCCTTTACGCCAAAAAATTTTCATTGATCTTCGTTTTACTCCCTGATTAGCCGTTTTCTTCGTTTCTCCAACTTTTGCAATCTCAATGTCAACTCAATTGCGTTTTATCATCTTGAAGCCAACTGTGTGGACCATTTTGTTATCTCTACCAAACTCAATGTTTGCTAAATTTGTTTATCTCTCTTATTGTAAGTATAATATTTCGTTTACCTGTTCTGCTCTCTCCATTGTGTCTCGAAGCTCAACTTACACTGATCACCTAGTTCTCTTTAATTAACTGCTGTCAAAATCTTGAAGCTAGTGTTCCGAACTTTCCACTCTGGTCAATCCTTAGCAGTCGCGGAGGATAGTTCTGCTTTTCATAATGATTGTGAGCATTGTTCATTGAACAATCGTATATCTCATCAGTACTCACAATCTGAAAATGGGGTTTTGATAGAAGACTATCAGGGATGAAAAAGTTCAGCAATTCTCATCACCAAATTACAAAATTAGTAGCTCCGATGGGAATATTTCAGATTAGCAGCTGCAGCATGAAGAGTCTCTCTTTACATTTGCGGCAACTGATGACTGAGGCAACTCATTAGAAAATGGCCGGGAAAGTGAAGTGCTGAATTTGAATTTAAAGCACTATACTGAAGCTGCTGCTCAGAGCAACCGCCATCAAGTCAATCTATCAAATTTTTTGACAATCAATAGTCAAAAATTGGCTATTATTTATCTAACTTGAATGCTTGTCTACTTTCCTCATGCAGTTCCTTGTCACTTATTGTTACACGATCCATATCAGTGTTTAAGGAGGTCTCAGACCTGGAATATCGCAGGTAAAACTACCAGACCTCGTATTTTGTTTTGTGGTGTTTATAAATCTCCTCTTCCATTTTATTTTTTTTAAAGAGAACAAATCAATATCATTTCTTGAAATTTCCAGAGTTTTCTTTGCACAAAGAAGATACAACATAGACGTTTTCAAGAACCTAAGTTGAGTGGTTTCCCATTTACAAAATGAAGTATGACAGGAAGTCTACAAAGTCGCAAAATGAGATACGTGGTCTGGTAGTTTCTCCGTCAATATGCTCTTTTGTGTCAATAAATAAACAGGCCACCAAACAAGGTCTCAACTTCTAAAGAAGTCACATGTCTTCCCTTATAAATCTTACATAGAAAATGATTCACACAACTAAAAGTTGGAAAATCAACTCCTGAAAGAGATAGTAACAAGTTTTTTTTAACATTTATTAAACAGAAGTTAGAGCATACTTACAAGTTAGATCATACAAATGACGTCAACTGTAATTTTGTTTTTTTTATGCAATTTTAATGGTAAACACTTACATCTTGTTCTGGGATTCATTTTCAGACTGCCTCCTGATGATTCCTTTTCCTAGAGGAAATTTTTAAGGGAGAAAATGTTGCATAGTGCTTTAATTCGAATTGGTCCATACTGTATCTGCCACATATTTTGAAAGTTTTACGTCTACATTAAAAGACTCTGCAAAAACGACTCTGTTACCAAAGAGAAGGACTTGAACCACAGACGTTCATTAAGCACTAGAACCTGTCAATCTTTCAGCAAGAGATGGCTCGGCTTCAAAATTTCCAGGTTTCAAGAAGTACTTTATTCAATGCCAAGAACAATATGTTTGACTAGTAATCATGTCATATTTTTCTTATTTTCAGGAGTCTTGATAATCCTCAGTGAGATACCCGTGTGATAATTCATGATATCGATCGATCAAAGTACAACTTACCCCTTTCATAACTTCCTGCATTGTGATATAACGTTTGCAGACAGTCTGACTGTGCGAAAAGAGGCCGTAACTCAAGCAGAGGTAGATAAGACAGACTTCCAACTGTTTTACATGTCAGTTGCATGGTGAGTGACTCCAATGACACACCATGGAGCACAGCGATGCTCTGATTTCAAAATTTATATCGCTGCTCCAAGTCAATGGCCATAAAGTGCTTCGTGGTGAGCTGAAACTCAAATTAACAGATGAGTTCTTAACAGAAATCAACGCTTTGCTAAAGTCCCATGTGAATTCAGTCCAGTCAAAGGAACGCAAGAACAAGATACAATTTTTGAGGAATTTTCTAGGCAACACCCTCAAACTCAAGATTAATCAAGCTAGTATCAATGGATCAAGTTTACGAGGCTCATCGCAAAGCTCCTCTCAGATCAGCAGTTCCTCGAGTGACTTTACGCAGCCGTCCTCATCGTTAGGCTCATCAATTATCTATTCAGTGTCACAAACAGTGCTGGATCTGACTGATTTCACAAAGCTGAAATACCTGGAGCTGTACAAAGTCTCGCCCTTGAATATAATAGGTAAGGTTTTCTTTTTTTCATTTTTTTTTGTCTCCCTTAACACTCAAAATTCGAAAAAACACCCACTATGCTATTATAATAATGAGATAATCATTGAATTCAAGCCATGCACTTATTGGAATAATTCGAACAATATCACTAATAATTCAGATAATTTCATCTGACATTACCTAATTCAATATCGATACTTATTTTAATTATCATAGTAGCAGAGCAAACAAACTTTAGGTATAGAAACTAATAAAGTTCAAAAATGTCAATATTTATAATAATGGTAGTAGTAATTACTTATTTTTAATTCTTCCGTATCATTGTCATTTTTTTTTTTTTTTTTTTTTTCTGAGCTTTACAACGTATTCTTTGTTTACTTTAATTCAGATTTTTCATTTCTTAGTATTTTAGCCTTTATATAAGTTCTAAAAAAGTTTTATCACATAGGGCTCTCTAGTGGATAAAAATTTGATACAGCTATAATGCTGTCTTTCCTCCTACTAGAACGTACTAACTAAAATTTTAATTTGTACTTAATTTTCTATTGAAAAATAGAAAATCATACCAAAAAGTAAATTGCCTGCTCCCTTGGAAAATCTTTCAAAGTTATTCATATTTGAAAATAAAGAACCAACAAAAGTTACTTAATCAACTGTTTCATGGGAAGTGAATGACATAATAGCAAAGTGTTCCACCATTCAAGCTAATAATTTTAACAAATTTCTCAAAGTTTCAATTATTGAAATTAATTCTCAACTTTAATTATCTCAATTTTTCTTATTCTTTAATATTAATAATTCTCAACCCAGTCCAAAAGTACCCTGAACTACTTGCCCTACTTCTGAACTGACATTTTTATTAATTTGAGAATTTTCAAAGTCTAATTACACTTTCTTTGTCAGTATGAGTATGTTTAAAAGACAGGAACTTATGTTTATGTTGATGGATTATCCAGGTTATCAGTTTCTTCGCTCCCAGCTGGAGACAATAATCTGTATGCGCTGTCTGAACTCAGTGTCAGACGTTTTGGTGCTGGATGACAATCGTCGGGAGTCAAGTAGAGGGCAATATCTGTGGAGTGAGCTACGATACTTGGTGCTTCAGCACAACCGACTGAAGAGCGTCGACAATTCATTCATCTACACACCGTGGCTCCAGTTCCTTGATCTCAGCTTTAATGAGATCAAGTCCATCAACAAGTCCATTTTCGACCCACTCACCAATCTCAAGTACCTCAATGTCTCGTATAACTTTCTGACCAACGTCCCCACTTTCAACATGGCGACCAGCAGAAAACTTCAAGTGCTCCTGCTTCAACATAATCTCATTGATGACCTTAGTGGTAAATTTCAATTTAATTTTTCTTCTTCTTCTATTTCTTGTTACCATAGCTTAGAATCAACCACTAGGCAAGGTCAGATAAAAAATGCTGCAAAATTATTGTTCCTTTGTGTAAGAATTTCATGGAAATAGATTTGACTTACCATAAATCTCCAAAAAGCTCATATTGGACCATCCAATTAGGTATGAATTTAAGCACTTAACCAAGATTTCATGCCGGATATGATCTGCCCAAAGAAAATTATTAAAAGTAATTCCTTTTCAAGATATTTTCGTTTCCAATGTTTAATTAAAACTTTCTTCTGATGAAAACAAAACAAAAATAAAAATTGCAATCCGTTGGAGTTAAATCCCACACTACACATTATTGTAACAGTCTCTGAGGTATGAAAATATGGCAACTTCAATCTTGAGGCTTTGACTCAACTTTTACAGGTTGTTCACTTTGAACAGCCTAGGACAGGGAAGGAACATTGTTCGATTAAGAAACTTGCCATAATTATTGTAGTGCAAGATTTGATTCACAGCAATTCTGGGTTTTCTTTCGAGCGAGAAATTCCAATTTTTTGTCACCAGTGCAAAGAAAAAGCGTTAATATCGGTTAGGTGTCAGTCTCAGCAATTTTTGTTGCTCAAATATTTTTCCAAGTGAAATTCTGAAGAGGAAACCATATCAAAATACTCAAAACGTACCTTGTCTAGTAGTCCATTCTATAGATTTACACTCTTTTGCTGGCAAAAAGTAATCCTATTTGGTGTCTTTCTCATCTTCCTTTGAAATGATGTTCATCTCATGATACCTAATTTTTATTCATAGACCCTTAGCAATGTATTTTATCTGAATTCCAAGGAAAATTTTACCTCTAAATATGTCTTTTTTCTCCCAAATTTGCAGGTCTGAGCGAGTTAGAAAATTTAACATGCTGTGATCTCTCCGACAATATGATCCCAGACCATAGTCAATTAAATGCTGTATCACACTTTGTACACCTTGAAACACTAAACCTGGCTGGGAACCCAATTAGCTACCATCCAAGGCATCGATATGTAACCTGTCGTTATCTCCATGGAAATTGTGCCTCCAGTAAGGTAGGTATTTCATAAATTTTGTCAAAGGGTCATTCTCTCTTGCAGCAATTATAAGCCCTTACAATAAAATTTCGATTATCTGAGCTTGTTTTAACCAGGTTCTCAAGCTGCCATCCGTATTTTCTCCATTTTGTTGGGCCTGTAGCTCATGCTTAACGAAGGTTGCCTTTTAAGACCTTGCAATGGTGGTCCCTGGTTGGGTATATACTCAGAATTCTTTTGCTTGAGAGCATCTGATTATACCATCTTTAATTTATTTTTTATTTTGAAAACAGCTCATAAAATTTGATCCTGAATTAAAACGGTGACTCTGTGGGCCCGGAAGACAATGGTAATTCCTTCAGCTGTTTCAAATTGTGTTTTTTACAACAAAAAAAAAAAAATCGCCAGGAACAGTACATCTGGGTACATCAGAAGGGACCTTAGAATGTAGGAATGTAGTAAAATTGGAGTGAACATAGCATAGGCGGAAACTGAAAAAGTACAAAATTTCCCTGCTTGGCTCCAAGATAAGAGATCTTAGGATTGCCAAAGTCTCAAAATTTGACGCCAGAAAATAAGATCTATTGAAAAGTTGAAAGGATATAAACATTTAGGAATTGAGCGTCAATCAACTGAGGATCAATTCATAGTAACTGAAGAAGAAAAAAATTTGAATTAAAATAAATTCTGAATCTGTGGATAATCTTCCGTTTCTTTCATTTCAGTTCACACTGGACAATTGCGGCCTAACTAAACAAGAAATGGATGTTATTCACTTTGAACGGCACAACTATCTATCCACTTCACGCTCCCGCGGAAGTAAGTCATAGTTAACAAGTTTACAGACCAGTTAACAGTTGCTGTTACCTTTTTTTCGTAGAAGCTCCTCTGATTTAAAAATGCCTCAAGATAGGAAGGCACACAACAATTTTTAGGAAGGTGAATTGTAACTGTAATTATAAATATTAATTTTATGAACAGGTCAAAAAAATGAAATTTTTCTCCTGTAACTTTTGAATCACTTCGTAATTTCATGTTTATGCAGAAAAATCTGAGAACCTGAAAACTATAAGTGAGGAAGAACCATCGCCTTTATTAATAATTTATATCACTTCTTTTTAATGATCCTGTCATGATTCATTGCTTTATTTTATCTAGGTTTACGACGTAGTTTGTCAAGATCATCATCTACAAAACGTGGGCGAACCCGTGAAGCAGTAATCAATGATCCATCACTTGAAACAGAGCCCATAGCCACTGTCAGAGTACAACCCGTAGAAGAGCAAGGTTTGTTGTCCCAATTTTTGATTATCATATTTGGACGTTTTTCATATCTCATGTCTTAATGCACATAGCTCCGTGTGGCGGAAATACGTCCATTTCAGTGAGTCTGTTTTCGAATCATGTATCGATTATTTCAGACTGTAAGTCAGCAAAAATATAACCTATCCAAAAACTGAGTTTCTAAATCCAAAAGCAGCAGAGATATTGCCCTTCATAAAGCAAGGTGTATGATGTCATTCATCGCAGTGGGGCATACCATAGTTTCCTCCATCTTAGTTCCATTTCATCTTGTTGTTTAAATCGAGCAATTTTTGTGAATGTGTGGATCACTGAAAGCTCGGTAGTTAAAAAGCGAAAGTCTCCAACTGAAGACAACATAGCAATCTTTCAAAAGAAATCTTACCATGTTTCTTTGTCTACTCGTTACGCTGCTGTCAGTAACCCATTTTTCACATCTCAAGTGCTATGTAGCTTCATTGATAAAACTAAGGTGGAAGAAACCATGAATAACACTACCATGGTGGATAATGTCATACATCATGTTTTTCAAACAATGATATTTTCATTTATTGAGCGTTGAAACTAGTCTTTAGGACCAATCTCATTAGTTTATGCTCAACTATGAGCATACGCCATCAAAACGCGATTTTGTAACTTGCCAACTGACCCATTCATACTTTAAAAACTCAAATTCTCGTTAGCTCATGGAATTTTTTCACCAGAGTTCAGCTTGCTTGCCAACCTCAAAGTGTTGTGATTGTTTAGATTTTTCAAAACAAAGTCCTGTGAAAGTTTTTGATAGATTTTGATCAAAAATAAATAGTGAACACTTCCACAGTGCCCCAATGGTACATTGATCCTGATCTTTCTCATAAAAAAATTTATCTGATATTGTTGTTTGTCCCAATGTTGCAGAAGCTAAGTCGGTCCATTTAGAAACCAAAAAGAAAATTGAGATTGCAAGAGCACGCTACGGGAAAGACAACTGGCTCGGTGGCCAAGGCGGTTCTTTCATCCAGGGTATCATGGGCCTTAGCACAACTCCTTCAGCGTATCAATCGGAATCAAGTCACGTCGAGAAACAACAGTCATCTTTACCGGATAAACAGATCTCATCATCCCCAGAGAAGCAGCTCTCCTCATCGTCAGATAACGAAAAGCGTCCAACCATCCCTAAAGTAAGCTTTATTTGGATTTCTTTTACTTACGCATTTTTATTGATTGGTAGAAAATTTAGTTGAGAGAGGTTTTGGAGATGTATTTGTCAACAAATGGTTTCGGAGAAAAAGTAGCATGTTTCAAAAAAAGTTGAAAATAAGTATTCACTATATTTCTCAGTATTTTTGCATCAAAGAAAGCTAGGAACTAATGTGATCATCCACAGGAAAAAAAATTTTAAAGTAGGCTGGTAAATTTTTTAGGTGGGATTTTTGTCATGTTTGGTGAAAAATATCTAAATCTGAGTTTTTAACAGAAAAACCTGTGCGCACAGCAAACGTAAGCTTTAAATCGTCTCTTCTCAAAATCTTTTTTTTCATTTTTATTTTTTCCAAATAGCAAACCTTAAACGTCATATGTAACTCCTCTCTGGCATAACATTTTTGGACGTTCTTTGTCTCAAGAATATCTTTAAAACACTTCTCCAAACAGTGGTACCAAGACTTAAATTTCAACTTTTATTTGGCCATAAGAGCTCTTTTCCTATGATTGGTCACAAATAAAGAAATACTGCCCTGGTCTAGAATGTGAAAAAAAGCCACTTGCATTCCCAAGCAACAGATTGAGTGAAAATTAACGGATGAATCCATCAAACTTTTCCAGGCACCATCAGAGATCTCAATAGTGTCGTCCGATGTAGAGCAGCTTCCTCCAGGCTCATCGAAAGAATCCTCGTGTGAAAAAGACGACTCCTGTGGGCTCATCTCCGAGTCAAATACGGACAACGAGTCAAAGGCTGGTGATGCAGAGATGAAGAGTGAAATTCGGATGGACAACGAGGATGACATCTCAGTCATTACAACGGAGGAAAATCCGGACGAGAGTGCAGATACGAAATTCGAGACCGCTGTTGAGGACGTCGATGAAGTTGCTCAGGAGACAAGCGAAGATCTCACATTCTGTGAGGACTTCTATGAGAACAAAAAAGAAGGTAAGAATCTTTGGTCGAACTGAATCTTTTTCAACTAATTCTAAAAGAGATGGACCTAGTAATGTGTAGGTTCTTAGCTACCGGAAAGTATCAAGAACATAGGAAAATGCCATTAATCAGAAAAAATCATAAAAGTAACCAGGGAAAAAAACCCTACAACACAGGAAATTTTAGTACTTAATGGTTGTGGTAATGAAAAGTTAAGTTTTGATTGTTTGAAGAATTTCAATACTACAGTACTACATTTGTCATCTTCTAAACTAAGGAACACATCTTGTCTGTGCTATTTCAGTACACCGACAAACCATTAACATTTAGCATAAAGTTTATCTTCTCACGGGAGAACAGTTGCATGAATTAGTCTGAAAATTAGGAGTCGAACAACGGGACAAAATTTTGCAACTAGGAACCGCAATTTTTGGCTCATCTGTAAAAACTCATATGCATGGGGAAAATAATGGTATGTATGTTGTTTCTAAATCGAGCCAGAAATTATAGTTCCTGAATGCAAAATGTAATCCGATGCAGTCTTAAAATAACTTTTTCGAACTGATTTTCCAAAATTTATTGTTATTTGTGATTCTGCATCAAAATCACCCATCAAATATAATCAATCAGTTTACAAAATTGTATCGAATGGAAGTTGCAGTATCCATGATTTTTGTTAAAATTTTGTCTTGTGCATCGAAACAATGTATTAATGGGCTCCACAACTTTTTTGTTTGTCTCCAACATCTCTTGTTTAATTGTGTGTATTTATGTGATTCCAGAAGAAAATTTGCTATGGCTTATCAAAATAGTGAAGGACAAATCGGAAGAGCCGATTTTCCTCTCGTTCGACCGTCACAAGGAGTTGAAGGAGTGTGATATGGTCTCTGGTGAAACGCGTACTCGTTGGACGGTGGACACTATCCAGTCGTGCGTCAAAGTTTCCTCTGACCCTGTTACAATCCAGCTAACGTTTGACACCCTTCAGAAGCATCGTCGCGAGCGCACATACATCATGCAGCAGTCCGATGCAACTGCATTCCTGCACGCTATTCATGAGGAACTTGAGTCTCGGTCCTTGACGCAAATGAACCAGACAGCATTCAGGTGCATTAAATGCTCGTCTGAGTTCTCGAGAGAAAAATCCTACGCAAAGAAGCCAAGTAAGTAGGAATCTTATGTAACTTTGTCGTAAAGTTTAAAAAAGAGGCCCTGTGAAAAAAAAAAAAAAAAAAAAAAAAAAAAAAAAGTGTACTCTTTTTCTCTTTTTTAAACAAAAATTTGTGACAATATTTGTTTTATAACAATTAAATTATTCCAAATTTTTATCATTAATTGGAAAGGATGTATTTCTAAGTTAAGAAATCAGTGTAAAAGTCTCGTTTTTACTCACTTTTGCCTAGAAGTTTTCTTTGAACGATAGGTTTTGGCCATCTAGCCATCATCAGGTATAGACGGCAACTTTCAGTCATGTAGTCAGGGTCGGTGCCTAATGATGACTTAATGGACAAAACCCTGTTGTTGAAAGAAAATTTCCAGTAAGCGAGTGGGAAAGAAAATTTTGCATCAGTTCACTATTTGGCACTTTTGAAAAGTTTTGGGAAGCTAGAAATCAAACTTGTATTTTTTAAAATTTGAATCATTTTTGCTCCAGAGAGAGTGCTGGAGAATTTTTTTGATTAATAGAAAATTATATTTTAAACTCAGAGCTATCAAGTTATCAATTGGACTAAATTTGGCAATGAGTAACTTCGTTATACAGGTCAGTTCAGAGGCAAAGCATGAACCCTTAGTTTCTGTGTGCATATAAGTGTTTTTACGACTGAGCCAGAAATTGTAGATTCTAAAACGTAGTCTTATTCATCTTCTGATTAAAGGAACACGAATATAGTCATAAAAATATAAGTATTGTCATTTTCCCTTGTTTCTTTTTTTCGATTGAAGGATCCCGAGAATTCCGGCGAAACATCCCAAATATCGCTTCAATTTTTAGCATTTTTTCTCCAGGTTGTGTTTTTAATGCTACATCATTTTGGGCTACATTAAATTTAATTATATCATATCGTAGTCATAGATATACATGAAGATTGGCGGTAAACAATTTCTCATCCAAGTTTTCCTCTTCTTTTGCAGAGAAAGTTGAATGTCCACTCTGTTGGAGCAATCTCGTTATTGAGCTAGACGAAATACCTGTCCCTGGTACTTCATCAGCTCATACCTCAAAGCCTTACCACAGCACACCTATCAAAAAATACTCTAGCGCTACAAATTCTGACCTCATCTCCTGACGAGGTCCTTGCATTGTCCGTGAGTCTCTATTAGTTAGAACACCCTCGCGGTTAGCTACGCTTGTTGAAAATAGTCCTTGATCTGCGTGACTATCAAGAAAACACGTAAGAGAATCTGCTGAGTTTTAACATTTGACAAGACTGATTTTTGAAACGGATCAAATCTTGTAGGAAGAAAAGTTCTTCCACAAAAATAATTGACGTTGGACCCGAGCATTGACAGCAGCAATAAGCTCATAAGCTCTAGTAGTTTGAGCGATGATGTACCCATGTTAGCGTCTATGCAGTCGGGCCCAACTAATCTTGAAGAAATCAAGTCTTTCAAGCTTGAACATGAGAAAAGTCATAAATGTTTATCTATTTGCATTATGTCATGCTGGTGGATATTTGCCATAAAACACAGGTAATCATCCACAGGTTTTTTTTTTTTTTTTTTTTTTTTTTTTTGAGGTATCTAAACAAAAAGAGAAAAAGTGGCAGGATCAGCCAATTAGTCCAAGGAACGGAATGATTTTTTTTTTGACCATCTGTGTTCTCATTCCATTTTTCAACCATCGAGCAGTTTTGTGAGCCCAAGCCTTGTGCTTTTTTTAAAAATTTGCCAAATTCGCGTTTTTTCTCTCCGAGCACATTTGCAAAAGGAAAACATAAATTTTTAAAGACCTTATTAATGTGGGAGATTACCTTCTTCCTTAGATTTGACATTTTTAAAAACTGACGAAACGGGACTAATTGAACGACTCTCATTGGAGCATCTTTTTGTTTTATCACTAAACCTGCATCATAATCATACACCAAGAGGAATAATAAAATTAGAGTCCAGACTATCATCTTAAATATTTGTTTTAACAATGAATAGTACATAACAGTCAATAGGAAAAGGGTAACACTCAAAACTGATAACTCTTCAAGCTGTGTTATCGACCAACTTAGCCTGTCTTAAATCAAACCTGTGCCGTACATATTTTAACCACAAAATATATAGGCTACACCAACAGAAGGTTCACTCCCGTTTACTCCAATGTATTGCGTTTTGTACTTTCCAGCGTCTCTTCATCGTTGCCAAGTGAAGTGAATGCGTTCAAGTAGAAAGTAGGGGTAGGAAGGAGTGCGTTTCGCCAAACAAAGCGTCAACGTTGAAGGTCGTCCGAGCTCCGGACAAAAAGCAAAATATAAACAATGCCTTCTAGGTGTGTTCTTCTTCTTTGACCGAGATACGCTGGGAGTGAACCTTCTGCTGGTGTTAGCCTACATATTCTGTGTTTTAGCTAGCCACCACCATTCGTTTTCCTTTAATTATTTCTCTTTGGAATAGCTCACTTTTAATTTTAAGTGCACCTACTGGTAATCTTTCGGGGACTAAAAAGTAAAAACACCCAAGTGAGAGGTTTCAGTTTCTGTTAATACTTTCTTAGCTTAAAAAATTAAAGCAATAAAAATATGATCATGATTTATTGAATGCAACTCAAAGGAAAGAAGCCCTGCTAGCAAGTAATCCTCTCGCAGATCTTGCGGTGAGAGTTCGTTTATTTCATATTTTCAAGTTTAGTTATTTGTGCATTAACATTTATTCAATTTCTGACCAAAATATACCTGTATGTCATAATGATACCCACAGAAAACCTGCCCTCAATTTTTTGTTCCAACTTTCTCTCCAGAAAATTTAGATTTAAGTTTATTAATGAAGCTCAGAGCTGAAACTTGTTAAAACAAGGATCATCAGCATTCTAGACAGATATTTTATGAAAAATCTTTTTGCAAATAGTTAACACCTCTCTGAACCAAAGTATTTTAAGTGCAATAATGTAAGTCATACCAGTGTAATACTACCCATTTCATTAAATACATCCCCACAAAGTTTATATTCTGACCGAAAAAGAGGAAGTCTGCCATATTACTGTGAAACCTCTGTCCTTTCAGTCGCAGCCAACCTTCCCTGAAGATTTATCGATGGTCTAAGTGCAAAACCACGTATCTCTGCTTGCGATGTCACAGATTTTGCTTCATATCTCATTTTCTCCTCGGAAAACTAGTCAATGTAATTTCTTGAACACTTTCCTTGAACCTTCTTTCCTCTCTCTCAGCAGAATACATTGTGTAAATTTTAAGCTACACAGTCGGCTTGTCTGTCTTCAAAAAACAAAAAACAAAATAGGAGTAAAAATTTTGAGACTCGACAGTAAAGATACATGGTTTTGTACTTTGACCATTGTTATGTACCGTAATTTCCTTCCAGCTTTTAATTTCACATCACACCCAATCAAGAAGCAAGACAAAATTAGCATGTACAGAATTGTTATTTTCTTGAATAAAGTTTATTTATTTAATATTTCTGCTTAGTTAACTTCTCAGTTCTCCTCAACTTGGGTCAGGTATAAAAAAACCAACCGTGCCACACTTTAGGATGATAAAGCCCATTCTTCGTAAGGAAAAACGCAGCATGAGCCTTCGGACCTTGCCAGTTTTCCCTCAATAAAAACCGAATTTACGGAGAAAATTGAGAAAATTTCGGAAAAATTTTGCAGAAAGTTTTATTCGCAATATAATAAAAATAACCGAAAATTTTAAGAAAAAATATAAAAACTTCCTTCAAAAATAAATGTTTTATCCGAGGGAATTTGGCAACTCTCGAATGTTCAGGCAGCATTTTTCCTTGGCACAGCAGCATCGACAGACTGCTACAAAATAAGAAAAAAAAATCAAGGACGTTTGAAAAATTACATGATTTTTATTTCATAAGTTTCACAAAGGTCAAAAGTCCAGGCTACGATCAATGTTGACAACTACTCCGAGATTTGATGACATAAACCTGTAAATCTCAGGGATAGTATTTAAAAATAACAAATGATTCGAATAGGACTTGATTCATGAATGCTTCATAAAGTCAAATTTCTACGGGCTCCATGGATCTGAGAGCATAATAGGTCCGCGGTAATTTGGATGATCGGCAAATTAGACATTGAGGTGAAAATTAAAAATGAACTCCTCCTGATACAGTTCGACTGGAGCAGAGTTACGGACGATTTCGAGAAGAGAGTGCTTTAATTTTTCACCATCAGCTGAGTCGACAATATTACCGTGGTGGATTTGCAGCAGTATAAAAATGAAATACATTAAACACTATTAAAGTGCTACGGATAAGAAAGACCTATCCCGCGTTGAAAATGCAACGCAAAGCACACACAAACAAAAAATTAGAACAAATAAAAAAATTGATCATTAGAAGATGTCGATCTTTATCTGGACAGTCACATCTTGAGGATGTTTCAAGAGAAAGTATCCACCTTGAATATCTTTTCAACGAATTTGAAGATCATCGAAACACTTGATATTTTTAAGGGAGGCCTCTTTTCCATACACTTGCACTTTTGAGTCCTCAAAAGGGCGCTGTGACGCTTTTCAATAATAGAAGTTGCTTAAAAGATATTCAATGTGGATACTTTCTTCAGAAACACCCTGTGTAGTTTTAAATCTTCATAGCATTCAGTAAGGGTCTCATTATCACAAGAATCGATACAACCTGATCGAGATATTGCGTACATGCTTATTAGGTCTGATTATGAGTTTTAATTTACCGCTAGGATTAAAGTTTAAGTAGCTCATTAGATCCATATGGTACTTTCTGATTTTTTACAAATATTTATACATAGTGAAGGTAAAGGTCATACAAAACAAAAAACAATTTTCTTTCGATACATTTACCAGAAAATTTGCATCCTTAATTACTTAACAAAAAAAGTTTTCTGCTTACATATCAAGAGTCTCCAGTACACTCAGAGAAATTTTACTGGTTATTAGAGTAAAAAAGACGAAAAAAGGAGTCGATCACACAGTTTAAAAATGTTTTAGAAATTCTACAATTCATTTCTGATGTTACAAAAACAAAGGGTTAATTACTGGGAAATGTAATAGCTCGGCGTTTTCACCACGTAAAACTTCTCTTCTAAATTGAGAAGTATTAATAGATCAAGATTAAAAGATCTTGAAACTCCAGGGAAAAATCGCAAACTTGTCAGAGCAAAGATTAACATACTGAGTACAGACGCTAAAAGAATGGTTATTGATGTGCAAAAATACCAATGGTTAAATTTACACTTACGCAAAGAAAATTAGAGTTTTGAATTAGGACCTTCAACTACAGTGAAATATTTCCATTTACTTTACAGGGTGGAACATGTAGGACAAAATTAAAGGTGGAAAAATTGATAAATCAAAAGTACATTCAAAACAAAGTTATATCTAAAGGCTGAGAGAAGCATGTACAAGGCTGGACAATCTTCATGTTCTTCTGCAAGCGTGCAAGATTCAAAATGCTATGTAAAATATTTTCATGCATCTATACACAGAACTAAAATTTGTAAAATTACACAGCTTCACCTCAAAAATTTTGAGCTCCAATGTAATGATACTATTTCTGTAGCTGAGCGCTAAAGAACCGTTATTTCACTTCCACCATTGTTGCCAGTATCAGCACTTTCCCCTCATTAAGCTTATGCAAAATATCCAAATTTTATTGCACAGCCTAGCAACCTTAATTTCTGCCCATGCAACAGCTCCATTTTGACCATGCTCGAGAAAAACGACATATGAAACTTCAAACGTTGCCGGATCCCTTAATAAGTCTGTCAAGAATGCAAGTGACTCGATTTTACAAAAATTGCCTCATACGTTTCTTTAGCTCTTGACTACAGATTTGACAACGATTCATACCTCCAATCGGAAGGTGAACATTACTGGAAATAACTGTGAGATTTTTACAATTCTGTTTCCGATGAATATTTGAAGAGATACTCCTAGGCAAAGCTTGCCCTGCAATATGAATAAACTACTAAATTAATCACTTTTAAATCAAAATAAATACATTTTTGGAGTACATACAAATGTTCGCTTCAAAAAAAATAAAATAAAATGTAAAGCTGACCAGAATAACTCTTTGAAGGCTGACGGATTTGAAAACACCCAGTTCATGGAAAATCGATTCACTGGGAGTTTCATTACTCAATTTTACTCGCAGTTATGATGTCTACGTATCGAGTTCGTTGTTCAACTCAAGACGCCTCTTATACAAATTTTATTTGTTCATGACATTTTCCCATCGTGAAACAAGGAGAGGTTCACAGAGAAAAAGGCGTTCTTTTGAAGGGAATATTTTGAGGACTAGCTTACTTCATTAAGTCTAGTCACAGTCTAGATTAAATGAAACGAGTTTCTATAAAAATCAAGGAAATAAATTATTAATTCTAAGAAATTGAAGCAAGGATGGCGATTAGGCAGGCTCAAGATTTTGGTGCGACTGCAATAAGCAAAAAAGAACCTTGAGTATAAGATCTCTGCTTATATGCGGCTCTTCTTCACATAATGCAGTCCACAAACGCTAACAACTAACTATGAAAATTTTTAAGATACCTAATTAGTGCTTAAGCACATAACATGATACTTGCAACTTGAGAAGAAAAAAGAGAAAAAAAAAACAATAACAAAATTAATTAAAACTAATACTTGGTCTACATGATGGATTTGCAAAAAATTTAAAAGAAAATGAAAAAAAGAAAAGAAAAAATAATAATTATAGTAATCAATAAAAATAAATGAAAAGTTGTAAATGGAGGGGACTGAAAATAAACGCCAGAAATCTAAAAAAAAAGAAAGAAAGAAAGAAATTGGTCTTCACAAGATTAACAATAGGATTTGAAATGAATAATTTTAGACCTGAAGAACACCCAAATAATGCACTGATAAGCAGTTACTTAAGACTAGATTCAGGCATTTCATTGTAATTTGTGATTGAAATTGTAAAAAAACAGACCCATGACAAACAAAAACCAAGGGCTGAAATTAAAAATTATTAGGTGGTGTTTGATCAGAAACTAAGCACATAGCTCAAACCACATTGGAAAATACTGGATGAGAAAATCTTTACAGGTCAATATGACATAATACCTTGACAAACAAAAGTTTTAAAGTGGAGGGCAATGCACAATGGGATTAAAGTAACAAAAAAAGAAAAAAAAAATTGGAGACTGAATAAAATGGAACTGCTGTCAAGAATAAATAATGCCGGTTAAATGTAAATTTTCTCAAAATTTTGTAAACGAATTTGAGCTACCTATTCTACAGTTGATCAAAAAGTGAAAAAAAGGGTTGTGTTTATTGTTAAGCCATTTGTAAACCTTATTTTTCCTGGGGTGGACAGGTTGTCAACCATTTTAAAAATCCACCAACCACCCTAAAATTAAATAAAAGTCGCTTTTAAAAGAGATTACCACAGCAGTGACATTCTCCAAAACTTCCTCCAAAATTCTCCGAGGATGCCTCAGAAAATGCACTAAAGTTGGCACTAACGAGGAAAGCAATACAAACTAAAAAGTTCTTAATAAAAGGTAAATTATTTGAGGAGTGGGTAGACTGAGTGAATACAGGAAATAGTTAAACACGTAATTATCTGTTTCATTCTTTTATGAAATTAAACGAAAATTTTTTGGAAAAAAAAGAGTGCACCTTTTAAAATTGTTAGCTAAATTTTCAGAGATTTATCAGCTATGAAGATGGAGAAGTTAGCTGAAAAATGACGAAATACTCATTGTAGCCATACAAATTACAATAAATATGAAACATAATGACACTCTTGATGAATCATAGTTTTCTTTTTTCTCCAGGGAGTTTTTAAACATAATGCTTTTTTTGTTTGAAAATTTTAAAACATCAAATTCAAGAGATTTAAAGACTAAAATTTTCTTGATTTCAAAGAATGGTCTTGAAATTTGGGGTGATGGCATTTCTTTTTTTTTTTGCAAATTTCCGAACACCTCTAGAATAGTTAGGTGTATTTTAACATTCCTCATGTTTTTTTTTACAAAACTTAGATGTTGATTCAACATTGTAAATATTCTGAAGTAAAGCTCTTGAAATTTCAGACTCAAAATTTCATGTTCTGAGAAGTTCCATTTTTTGTCAATGTATTGGTTACTCACGCTCTGAGAGAGGGGTGAAGAAAATCAAATTTCTATTACTTGCATGAGAGAGAAGGCGTTGAAGGCGTTAGATTACCAATATGAGACAAAATGAGCAACCCCAAACAAGGTATTTGATTTAACAATCAAGGAAGTTGGCAGCCATCAAGAGTTCAAGAGCGATCTGTGGAGCGATTGGGAACTCGGGTATTTCTGTTGAGCTGTTGGTGTATCGCACTTTGTAAGTAAAGTACATGCAAACTTTCTGCAAGACATGGGACCTAGAAAAACAGTAATTTAAAGCATGGAGTTAAGAACTGTAGCAACGATTAGTAAAATGATTCCTTTATTGTCCACAGACACAAAATTTTTTATCTCCCACAGGAAGGACATATCTTGTCTGCGATGTTTCATTATTTCTAAAATAATTTCATTTTTTCTCAGGAGAGCTTTCTCACAACTTTGCCTGAAAATTTTAAAGTCTTCTCTCACAGGCATAAAGAAAAATCAAACAAAATTTCAGACTAATTGTCTGATAGTTCTCATTAAAAAAATAAAGTCAGTAAAAAATCTGAAACAACGCTAGTAAGATACGCCCCCTCTTGTGAAAGATGATGTGTTGTATGGCCGAGCAATGTCTACTAAATTCTATTATATAATTCTAATTGCTTACTTCATACAATATAATCATCACTGAATGAGACATTGAGTTTCACATATACCTCTAATAATAATTTTAGCTTATTAGTAATATCAAATGTTTACATGAACTAAGTGATAGAAGGTCTCAATACAAAGCAATGCCTCTTCTGCACCATGTCAGATTGCCACTACATGTCCATTTATGGTATTCTAGATTTTACTTTGCCTACCGATCACAGTCGCTCATTTTCATGGGCGAATATTATGATGACAGTGAATTAGGACCAACAAGTTACATTTAGACTTACTTCAGCTTAATTTTTTGAGTACCTTTGGGCAAAAGATAATTATCTACAACAAAAGATCGAATTACTACATTAGTCATCAGCAACTTTGTAGAAGAACCGTAGTTGCAGATGGAGCCAGCGCCCAATCCTTCTAATACAAGACTTAAGTACTTACGGTATTTCACGGAAATGGATTTCATTTGTTTCGTTCTCAGCAAACTGTCCGGGTCCACTTAACATAGCTTTGATCGTGTTGGACATGATTGCGTACTCTCGCTTTACAATAAACGCATGTCCATCGCTTGATATCAACTTGACATACATGGCGTCTGGCCCTTCACACCCTCCATACACACGCTCTTCATTTTCCTGTAAAGACAGAAACCGGCGTTATAATAACATATTTAATGTTGAAAGATGGTTCAGAATTACTCTTATTGAGCCCCACTGAACAGGTTAGGCGATCGAGATAGTTGCTCAAGGGTAGCAAATTTCCGGGAAGAAAAAAATTATTCCAAATTTTTTACTTTTCTTCACAAGGACAGCCAAGCAGGCAAGATCTGAAAAAAAATAGATCTGTACTTTTCAAGTGGGGTATCATTATTTGAAGAATTGTTGGGTGAGGCCCATCAAATCTTTTCGGTACAAAAATTTTCCTGCCGCAAACATCACAAGGGCAGGAAAATTCTACTTATTTTACGGCAGCAAAAAATTAGAACCAGGCATGATGCATGATTCCCGCTAAGGTGTCAGAAACATTGTACTTCTAAAAATTTACCACATAGGCAGCAAATAAGAAAAAAACTAGAAACGTGGCCAAAAACTGTAGGTTACAGGGTGGAAAAAATATTGCAGGATTAGGCTCACTGGTGAGCACGATCTACTGCTGACATCTAAAAAGACCCAGAACGTCTTAGATCTCTCGGCGTGACCTCAACTTGATATTCCAATTCAAGCTGCCTGAGCTAACCACTCTCCCTCTTGGTTGTGTACTAGTACACATTAGAGCTCAAAATTTGGACTTTAATTGCAATTTTTTAACTTATTGGCTTTGTTTCCCGCGTGAAATGGTAAGAACCCAGCATCATTTTACCACCTTGTAATAGGCAGCAAATAAATATTATCAGGAAAATGCCAGCATCTCTGATTTGTAGATCTTGATGGAAACTAAAGGGTGCACGGATCAGAAATGGTTCCTTCAACTTTAATGTTTGTATTAGTGAGGCAAAATGATAATAAAATAGAAAACAAATGTTATTTAGGGATCCAAAAATGGGCTAAATTTTCGTGGTTTCTGCCACCTTTACAACTACAATAAACTTTAAAAATCATTTAAGATTACACATCCGGCTTCTGTTTTTGAACCGAGTACCATTTTGAAAACAAGGAATCATACAGATCTTTTCTTCTCAAAAAACATAAACTTAATAAAATATTTTATCATGCTATATCTACTCAATTATTAAATTTTCTTCCAATATTACAGAATATCTATGAAAAAATAAGTTCGCAGAAAAATATGATGGACGATTCAGTGCTTACTGAGAGGAGAAATCTTCGTGCTGACCATGAAGATCTGCAATTATTTTTGCATGCTTTCAAGTTACAAAGAGCGCTAAGCAATTAACACCGCAAAGAAGAGAATAGCGTACGTGAATCAAAGGCTATGAAACTTCAATGACGATGCATTCATGTTGAAGGAAATGATTACAATAAGAGTGGAACTAAGAAATGGAGGGTAGGCATTGAATACAACAATAATTAGTTATGTTTCCATACCTTCTTGTCATCCATGGCTCAGGCTGCTTGTAGCTAAGATAGTGGCTTGTGTTGTTCAAAATGGGGGCCTGAAAATGTTCAAAACCACAGTTATTGATGAAGGCGCTCTCACAATGAAGGTCATGCTAACATAACCAAATCGGCAAACACAAGCAAAGGCTTGAAAATAGTGTTCGAGAAATAATAAGGAATACACTTGAAGAAAATACTTAACTAGTTGGCTATGCAATTATGATAGCATATTGATATGAAGATTACAGCCAAGAGGAAAATGACAACATTTTCCGCATGTCATACTGTGGCCTTTGTCCACATACCTCATGTTTTCTTACATAAGTTGAGAGATTGAATACTCAAATCCGGAATTAACTAAATATAATGATAGAATAGCGATAGGCTTACCAGAAGCGGTGAATTGAAATGGTGAGATTTTATTTAAAATAAAAAAAGAAAAGGAAAAAAATATCTCTGGATGATAACAATGCGCCAAATGGGCAATGTAAACAAGATCAGTTCAGTTGGTGCATAGAGAAAAAAAAGGAGGTGTTTGCATTTCGGGCATCTTGGAATTTTTCATAGAGTATCTATAGCTTTGATGACGTCATTGGGTACAGCGACGTTTTTATCCTGTCGATTTTCTTGGAAATGGTGTAATTTAAGGGAAAAAGTCATTCTATAAAAAGTGCTTGAAATTAAATAAAGAGTTGACTTAAGTAAAAAAATCGGACATTATGGTCCGTTTTTACAGCGTCAACATAACCCTCAACGAGCGTCTTGTTTACATTGATGACGTAGGTGGGTACAAATCCTCAAGATGCAAACACCTCCTTTTTTTTCTCTATGCAGTTGGTGTTGGTCTGTTGGTTCAGTGGTTCAGTTCCTGAAATCGCCAGGATCCGAAAATCGACCAATCACCAGCTTTTCTCACCTGCCAACAACATCAACTCATTGGACCATTGACGTATAATACAATCTAGACCGCGCATTGGGCCCGACTTTAGGCGGGGAAGGTAAGACAGCTAGGGGGGTAAAGACGCGCCTTCAGCCTAGTTGATACCGTCGGATATACGAGCTAAGTGTACCCGTATCAGGCAACGGCACTGATAAGACCGGCATTTCCATTGTCTCGGTCGGTACACTTACTGCGGTTGCTGGGTTGCCTATCGTCTCGCCTGAAGGGACTCTAGTCTTGCCGAAATTTCCTAATGCGCGGTCTAGATTGTATTATACGTCAATGCATTGGACCAATCATGTGTATGGCACGCATTTTTTTTATCTATCTGCAATCTGATTGGTGGACATAGTGTACCTTGAGCAGGCGCTATTTTTAAACTTGACTGAGGTTACTGAAGTGAGCCCATTGCTGCATCATTTATAATTCGCAAATCGCGTAAATTCAGGGTAGGCTCTGAGGTTTTCAAGTTTTCATTTGTGCATCCCCTTTGACGCATAAGATATTGAGTATGCACACCCAGAATCATCCTTGGAAAATTTCGAAAATATCCGAGGGGGAAATCTTTAAGTAGGAATGTTGTCGCATTGCTGCATCATCCATAATTCGCGAATCGCGTAAATTCAGGACAGGCTCTGAGGTTTTCAAAATTGCATGTGTTCATGCCCTTTTGACACATAAGATATTGAGTATGCCCACCCAGAATTATCCTTGGAAAATTTCGATAAAATCCATGGGGGAAACCTCAAACAATGTTGCCGCATCCATCGTCAATACGAGACAAGTCGCGTAAATTCGGAGCAGGCTCTGTCGTTTCATCAATTTCATTTGTTTATCCGATTTGACGGATTATATTTATGGAGGATGGACATCGAAGACCATCCTCTGAAAATTTCGAGAAAATCCAAAGGGGAAATTTCATGCAATGTTGCTGAATTGCTCAATTATCCATAATTCGCGAGTCGCGTATATTCAGGGCAGGCTCTGAGGTTTTCAAAATTTCATGTGTTCATCCCCTTTGACACATAAGATATTGAGTATGCGCACCCAGAATCATCCTTGGAAAATTTCGAGAATATCCAAGGGGGAAATCTCTGGAAACGTTGTTGCATTGCTGCATCATCCACAATTCGCGAGTCGCCTAAATTCAGAGCAGGACTGTCGTTTCATTGATTTCATTTGTTCATCCAATTTGAAAGATTTTATATTGAGTATGGACACCCAGAATCATCATCAGAAAATTTCGAGAAAAACAAAGGGGGTTATCACGAGCAATGTTGCTGTTTCCATTATGATGCATGATAATTCTTGAATTGGCCGCCAAGAATTTTTATTATCTTTATTTAAGCTAAATTTTTCTTGATACATGAATGAAAATATTGAATTAAGCATACTATAGTTCGTAATAAGCAGATTATGATGAGAATTCTTGATTCAAGAGAAAATACTTCTTAGCGGCAAATTTAAGATTTTTTTTTCTTTCAGTGATTATTTACTGGGACGTAGCCCCTTAGTGATTCAAAATCTACAAAACTGCATCTCTCTTGTGTAAAGAGGTTAAGATTTTAGTAATCTATTTTAAATCCTGCAAATTGTTCATGGTTTAAATTTAATGAGTTTCTCACTCATGGTCACTCTTATTTTTCAACCAATATTAGTCGTTGTTGAAAATTGAATGTCTCTTTTTGCAACGTTGATAATTTCTTGTCACATTGCCTGTATTACTTACGATAAGCTAAGGAGCAATATTTCTTGACATTTTTGCTGGTTATCCTGCGTCATGTGCAGAATATTTGGTAAAATTATGAATAATTCACTGATTTTCATTGTAAGGAAAAAATTTAAATGAAAATGAAACATCATCAGCTCTTCTTGAAACATTCCAAATGAGGAAAATGTTTTGAGACTTTCGCCATAAAGCCATCTCAAGACAATCAGATTCAGAAAATAGGGAGAAATAAAAAATTTGTGTCCTTCAGGGACAAAATGCGACTATTATTAGTCAATAAATGACTGGGAGAAATTTAAAACACACATGAAAAAATATTTCACTCACTAATATTAGTCATAAGAAAAAATGGTGTATGAAAAAAGAGGTGTTGATAAATAGACATAAGGTAGTAGAAAAAAGAAAATTTAATTAAGTTCTTGAAAAAAAAAACAAAAAATCAGTAATTTCCTGTTGACCTGCTAACATAATGATATTTCAAGGGGATACAAGTACAAAATAAGGGTTGAACATGCTAAAGAAAGGCTCAGGAGAAATTTGCCATATTTGCACTGTTAGTCTAAGAACGAGCTTGTTTACATGAGCGCATGAAATTTATTCAAGTTTCCGAAAATAGGAATAAAAATTAGCATTACTCCGTTGACTCACTAACGTAATGATATTTCAAGGGAATACAAGTACAAAATATGGGTTGAACGTGCTAAAGAAAGGCTCAGGTGAAAGAGCCGTATGCAAAAACGACATTATTCGCCCCCCCCCCCCACTAAAACTTATTCAAACTTCGTCTATCAGTTACTAATACTGGAGCGCTTCTTTCCCCAAATTTTCAGACCCCCAAAAAATGTTGGGGGGGAGCGGTAGGGGGGGTGGAAGTCAAAACCTGTGAACCTCGATATCTTTCGAACGAAACAAGATATTGAGGCCCAATAATAATTCACAGTTTTAAAATTACAGCTCCGTACAGGACCACTGAGCGGCCAGTCAGCACTCAGTGGGCCTCTAAAATAGCGCTACGGAGCTGTGATTTTAGAAACGTGAATTTTTTGGAAGTATCTGTAATTTCTGAACTCAGCGACCCTCAAGAGTCCCTAATAATGCATTTGGCTCAGTTTTAACATTCAATCTGATTTAATAACAGTCAAATCCGACCTTTTAGCGCGCGAAAATCGGTCGGCGCGCGTTGAGCGGAAACTTCAATCGATCATAACTCCGGAACCGTTCGGTTCCCAAGCTTAGATGACCACTCGTTGGATGCAGAAAAAGACGAGCAATTTAAAAAACTGGTTTTGGTTCAAATACAAAATTGTGCTCTTTCAGTTTAGTGAGTTTAAAAGAAATTGTTTTTCCTCAAAAACTAAAAAAAGCAGATAAGTTAAGTTAAAAATGTAATTTTGGGATTTTGACCTTTAGAATCTTAAAGTATGCAATTTTAGACGATTTTTCGTCCAAACCGGGCCTCAATATCTTGTTTCGTTCGAAACATATAGAGGTTCACAGGTTTTGACTTCCACCCCCCTTAGCACCCCACCCAAAATTTTTTGGGGGTCTGAAAATTTGGGGAAAGAAGCGCTCCAGTATTAGTAACTGATAGACGAAGTTTGAATAAGTTTTAGTGGGGGGGGGGGCGGCGAAAAATGTCGTTTTTGCATACGGCTCTTTGCCATATTTGCACTGTTAGTCTATAACGAGCTTGTTTACATGAGCGCATGAAATTTATTCAAGTTTTCGAAAATAGGAACAAAAATCAGTGTTACACTAGCAACTCACTGACGCATTCAAACACTAATAACTGAATATTAAAATTAGCAAGTAAACAAAATGACCATTAAATTTAAAAAAAAAAATATGTTGTTTAAAAAGGGCAGTAAGAGAGAAGTAAAACAATTTTGCGCAGCGTCAATTCCATCTAAAAGTAATCATTGAGGAACGAAAATAGTTGGCATTTTCTTTCAAGACATGTGTTCTAGGCTGCCTGCTTCAAACATCTGAAAACATGAGAAAAGAAATAATCATCAACTGTCAAATAAGTGGTATAGCAGAGCAAGTTCCGGTTATTAAATTAATAGTCATTCGATCAGACAGGGTTGCCACAAAAATTGGAAAATGTAATGCCCTGACATTTCCCTGTTACATTTTGGTGAAATTCCCTGACAGTTAAATATATGGCAAATGGCTAAGAGGAAATAATTGAAAATATTGTTTGGGCAAAATTTGAAGTTCGAGACCTCAAACCCATTTTAGAGAGCAAATAAAGAAGATTCAACTTCCCTGACATTTCCCGGTTTTCCCTGACTTTATAAAATTCCCGGACTGTGGCAACCCTGCCCCTCAAGAGGTGTTGCCAAGTTATGTAACCCAAAATTCTAAGTTTCATAATTCATCTTTTCTGGCATTTATCATTTCGTAATTGAGTCATGTCATGCGAAAGTCTGTAATGTATATTTTTCCAGCTTTTAGTTTTCTTGTGCTTATAATAATTTTCAAGATTTGACACCGCCATCAAAGTGTAAAACGAGTAATAACGCTACATTCATCATTAAATTCAACTCTCAAATGTATTATCAACTCAAAAAAACTCAAGACTGGAAGAATGGACATGAGCGGCCTCTGCATGAAACGATTGAAATATGTATAACTCATGATAAGCCAAGGATTAAAACCATCACTGGTCAAGAGGACCACACACCTTGAGATCGAAAAAAGTAATTCTATTATTACCAACCGCTGCCTCACCAAAAGTTTTTTTTCTCTCTTTCTACAAAGAACATACGTGTCTCTTATGCCATTCACTGTCATCTGCCTATTTCTAGTTGGATGAAGTTTTCTGTATTCACAAGTCCACTGGACAATAAACTGCTTTACCGGTACGCTCTTTGAAGAAACTCAATAATCTTCCATTACTTTTATTCCTCCTTCAGCTTTGGCTTCAAAACATCACCTTGGTGGAATGCAAATAGTCTAGGACTTAATTAACGTTTTGAAAACTTGACTTAAATATATCAGGAAAAGGCTTATACCCTTTATTAATGGGAGATCTTCGTATTTAATTTGCCATTTTCCCTTTGAAAGCTCCTCTTATCTCAATGAGCCTCTAGACAGGGTAAGAACTGGGGGCTCTAAGCACATGAATCTGCATCAGAATTTCGCGTAGAATTCAATGGTACAAACGGGAATTCATGAAACCAACTAATAAGCGAGATATTTGCGTAAATAGACTGCGCATTTTTGTAAATCCCGCTCGCCTAATATACGAATGACGTCACATTTGTAGCCAATAGGATTGTCGCAGCGCTGCGCAGCGCCGACTGAGCATCGGCCATCGAAAACGTCCAACGCTCCCAACGCCGGGATCGTAAACAAACGAAAATTGATAACAGGAAGGACCCAAGCACCCAAGCAACTCGAAATCTTTTAATTTTCATTAATTACAGTCCATTTTCGACTTCAAGAAAGCATTTGACAACCATTTTCCTCGTATTTTATAACCTGGAGCCACAGCCTATCGGCTCATTGTAATGTGCACTCTGAGAGTCAGTTCCACAAGTCCAAACCCTGACATTCTTTTCTTTGACCATTCTATTTTCATTCCCGCCACAATTTAAGTGTTATGCAGTTTCTTTATCTAAAATATGTGGTCTTGAATTCATTCAGGAGTCAGAAGTTTACCTTTCTTTTAGTATTACAGCCCTTTGACCCCTCAAACTTCACCGATATGACCTCATGTAGTTCAAGGTTTCTCTGGCCCGAACCGAGTGATTACACATCTGAGGTGTGTCTCATGGTTCTTCAAATTAGCAGTTTAGAACTAAATTAGGGACTACAGTGACTCAATCCAGTTCTGCTTTCTTGTTCAATGTTTGTTATCAGTGTCTGTTCTTTTTCGTGACCAATCTAGTGCATGCACTGTTACGCTATAAGTACAGGTATTATTGCTTTTTTCCTGCTGTCAGACCTTTTTCTTAAGCCTGCTGATTCACCACAGAATCTGCCCTAGTTGTGTAAATAATTTGGTGTGTAGTTATTGAGTTAATACCTCCTTGCGGTGATGCAAACTTTCTCAGATCCGTCATAAGTGGGTATTGCATTTAGACGATCACTCGGACCAGATGAAATCACTGCCCTAGCAGCTTCAAATTTATACTTTGATCTCTGATTCACTAATAAATAACACTTTATGGTGTCATTTATATTTAATCAGTTCAAAGCTAATTCGACAATGAATCATCAATGGACCGATCGAAAAAGGAATTTTCTGGTGCGTGCTACGGCTGAATCGACATTACCTACAACTCAACTTTCGAAAGCATGAACCTTAAAAAAATTCATCAGGAACTGGTACTTGGTAAGTAATAATTATGTTAGCACTCTCCTATTTCTGAAGAGATGTGTGTCCTGTAAATTTCAGAATATACTCTCCTGCCATATATCTAAAGAGGAATACAACATCTCAAGTGGGTGAAGTTATAAAATTTTGGAAATTGGTCATTTAAAGGGCTTTTCTGCTCGAAGACATGACTGAACCAATCTGAAAGCTGTGAGTTACGAATGATGGAGGGTCCAAGGTGTCTTCCCTGCTTTAAAAGATAAGGAATTGTGCCTCAGGCCTTAAATGCTATTGGAAATTCCAAACATTGTGAATTCAAATGCACGCTACACTTCATCAATGAATATGGAAATTTGTCTCACAGAAAATCTGATAAGACCATTCTGGTAGTTGTTTATTCCTGGTTTCTTAATTTCAGAATTTTTGTATTCTAGTTATCATCAAATGCTAATCAACAGATATTGCACAAAACGGTTGCTAATTATTTGAGGATTCATTTCTTAATCAGTATGTTTTATGTGTTTCACGCAGCGACGAGCCTTACTGAATTTTATGAAATGAAAAGATCACACCTACTTACCTGCAACATAGTTAGATCATCCTCCAAGCGTTAAGAAAATATTTTTCCTCTCTTTTAAGAATTCAGGGCGAGTAAAACCTGCTCAACAAAAGTTTGTGTAAGATTGTTCCATTCAAAATCACCTAAGAATCATTTCAATGGTAAAGTTGCCAACGATTCCTATTGAAAGTCGTTTGGTTCACTGAATTTTTCAGGTACCGAAAGATGAAAGGATCTTGAAAAGTCATAGAATTACATCCCACCATGAAAACAAGTTGGGAAAAACAGTTCAGATTGACCAGGGATGACATTTGTAACATTTACTTCTCAAACCAATCTAATGGCCAAACATAGGTATCATTTGCAAAACGTGTAAATTACATATCCTGAATACGTTGCTCAAACTTTCTACATCCAGTTCAGATTTTCAAAGGGAAGCAAGTCAGCATATTGTTTGAATTAATTACTAAATTTTCTGCCCATGTAGAGGAAAAATATCACATTTCAGAGATTTTGTTGAATGATTTTTAAATTGAGAAATTAAGAGGAACAGGAAGTCTGAAACTTTGTGAATTTAGGTAAGTGGTTTCCCAGTTTAGCCTTGTCATTAACATCCTCTTTTTGCCATGAATGATTATCCACAAACGTAAGCATACTCACACTAACTGTCCAACAACAGATCCGTATGTACCCTGGTGATACCTTAGTAACTTCAGATATCTTACCTTTTGAACTACTTGAATGGTTGGAAAATATTTTCACTTCAAGACGGATGGTCATGTCCTGATTGAAGCTTTCGAAAATTGAATGTAGTGTCGATTCAGCCATAGCACGCACCAGAAAATTCCTTTTTCGATCGGTCCATTGATGATTCATTGTCGAATTAGCTTTGAACTGATTAAATATAAATGACACCATAAAGTGTTATTTATTAGTGAATCAGAGATCAAAGTATAAATTTGAAGCTGCTAGGGCAGTGATTTCATCTGGTCCGAGTGATCGTCTAAATGCAATACCCACTTATGACGGATCTGAGAAAGTTTGCATCACCGCAAGGAGGTATTAACTCAATAACTACACACCAAATTATTTACACAACTAGGGCAGATTCTGTGGTGAATCAGCAGGCTTAAGAAAAAGGTCTGACAGCAGGAAAAAAGCAATAATACCTGTACTTATAGCGTAACAGTGCATGCACTAGATTGGTCACGAAAAAGAACAGACACTGATAACAAACATTGAACAAGAAAGCAGAACTGGATTGAGTCACTGTAGTCCCTAATTTAGTTCTAAACTGCTAATTTGAAGAACCATGAGACACACCTCAGATGTGTAATCACTCGGTTCGGGCCAGAGAAACCTTGAACTACATGAGGTCATATCGGTGAAGTTTGAGGGGTCAAAGGGCTGTAATACTAAAAGAAAGGTAAACTTCTGACTCCTGAATGAATTCAAGACCACATATTTTAGATAAAGAAACTGCATAACACTTAAATTGTGGCGGGAATGAAAATAGAATGGTCAAAGAAAAGAATGTCAGGGTTTGGACTTGTGGAACTGACTCTCAGAGTGCACATTACAATGAGCCGATAGGCTGTGGCTCCAGGTTATAAAATACGAGGAAAATGGTTGTCAAATGCTTTCTTGAAGTCGAAAATGGACTGTAATTAATGAAAATTAAAAGATTTCGAGTTGCTTGGGTGCTTGGGTCCTTCCTGTTATCAATTTTCGTTTGTTTACGATCCCGGCGTTGGGAGCGTTGGACGTTTTCGATGGCCGATGCTCAGTCGGCGCTGCGCAGCGCTGCGACAATCCTATTGGCTACAAATGTGACGTCATTCGTATATTAGGCGAGCGGGATTTACAAAAATGCGCAGTCTATTTACGCAAATATCTCGCTTATTAGTTGGTTTCATGAATTCCCGTTTGTACCATTGAATTCTACGCGAAATTCTGATGCAGATTCATGTGCTTAGAGCCCCCAGTTCTTACCCTGTCTAGAGGCTCATTTCAAGGATATGAAGGTGGAATGAACATGCAAATCTCTCTTCAAAATTTTCTGGAGGATAATACCATCATCATTAAATTTACACCAGTTTCGTACCTAATTCTCATTGGCAACCGCTTTGTCACCACAAGCTTCACATTTCCAATGGACAAGTTCTCACTTCTGAAAATTTGAATCTGTAGCATCCGTTTCATTTCGCCGTATTATTTCAAAACATATCTCAGTTGACAAATACGAAAAGTGTCCTCAGAGTCAGAAAATTTAACACGACAAAAATAAACAGCCAGGTCATTGCACTATTGAAAAACTTTTTGGGCAGATTTTCTCAGGGAACTTTTTAAATCTTGTCCTCATAGACCTTACTTGAGAAGATGGGTAAAAACAAAATGTGTAAAAAAGCTGATTATCTTAAATGACTAACCTGAAGGAGGAGTAAAATCTTAAGGAAACTCACTTCCAAGAATGATTTACTACGTATAAAATTTTTCAGTGTACTGGCAAAAAATTGAAAACTCACTTAGTTGTCAGGCTCGTCACAGGAAGAGCCGCCATCCCGTTTAATCTACTGCATCAGTGAATGAAAAAAAAAGTCCAAGGTAACAACGCAGGAAGAGCCGCCATCCCGTTTAATCTACTGCATCTGTGATTGAAAAAAAAACGTCCAAGGTAACAAATCAGGGAATTTCGTACAGTTCAGAACATAAGAGTGATTTTGAAATCACGAATTTGAAAAACAGTAAACTTCAATCAATGATGATATTTCATTGTAAACATAACTATATCATATCATCATGCTTTTCTATTCAATGGTACAGGCTTGTGATAACATAACGAGCACCTAAGGAGTAGAGTTTGTTTCAATTTGAACCTCAGCATTGAGTTTTCGACAGTAAAAGATTCTATACCGAAAATTCTATTTTGGAGAAAATCCCTAATTGAGGATTGAACACCATGTACTTCCTCCATTAGTTAAACTGCCCCTAAACTTTAATTCCTTTGTGACTTGCTGAACCTTTTAAAAGGGGTGTGGAAAATAGCAGATGGCTGCCCTGTGCAGGTTTCTAACATATTTTTTTTCTTTGTTTTTTTTTATTTTGTGTTTTGTTTGAAAACATGCACAAGTTCTTTTATTGGCAAGAGACTTTCTGCTGCTGAGATGATATGTTCCTTATTATTTAAGTTTTTTTTTTCAACATGAATGGTAATTGAGAGGGGTGGGTTTGTCACTAAAAACATGTCGCCTTTCTCATTTTAAACAGAAAAATTAGAGTACTGAAGTCTTTGTCCATTAGTTACCAACGCATGGATGATGCAGGGGTAGAGATGACAACTATACAGTGGATCAGGGTTATATGTTCCCCGATAAACATGAAAACTTTGCAAAATTCGCATTCCATTCTCTCTCTATGATCTTTAGTTCATTTCTATTGTACAGAAACATGTATAAGCTACATTCATTTTATTGGATACACCATCTTACAAGGATTCAGAAATCTTGTACTCCTGAAAATGGGCTTAATGGCACTAATGCCTGTTTACCAAAAATATCCTTAATAAATTTGTTGTCACTTCTGATATCCAAGTCTCCTCTTTGCTCTTTATTTACCGGCAAAAATGTAATTCTCGCCTAAATCCATTCAAGCAACCATGAGACACTACAGCCTGATTGTTAAAGCTTTATCAGGCTTTGTCGCCAGGCTAACAAATGATAATCCTTTATCTGATCGATTTTGTAAGTCTTTTTGTGCTAACATGAGCATCAATAATCAGGCTACTGGTCGACAGACACTTCGGTTCGCCTAAAATTTGTCACTGATTCTAGGTGGGCTTTTCGCAATGATTTTGAAAAGGTGCATTTGACAATCACCTACATCCAATTGGGGAAAAGAAAAGAAGACACATATGTCACATCCGAGAATCACACAATTCAACATAAATTTAGATGGTAACAAAATGATAAGTGATCCACTCAGGTTGATGCGATAATTGGCTCTCCTTTCCTTTCCCCTGTCCTGTATTATTTACTCAGTTCCCAAACAACTGAATTTCCTGAGGTAAACTGCGATTTTTTTTCGAGTACATGCAAAATTTGATTTTTCCAAGCATACCGTGAGGATCCGGAAAACCCAACGTAATTTTCGAGATCAGCCCTGAAAATACACCTAGAAAATTACATTCCTTCTTGTGATGACTTTTTTCTCTTTTTGATACAACCAATTTGAGCTTGGTTCATCTAGAAGATACGCTATCAGAGACTTGCAATTGGTCTATTGTCCTCTGAAAATTCTGTGTTTCTGCAACCCATCAAACATCCACACAAACATTGGATCGAAACAATTACACCTTGAAATTAATTACTGTGCCCTTCTTTCCTTTATTCATCTGATAAAATAGTGATAAAATCTGTATTTTTATGGTTGCCAAGTTCCGATGTTGTAAATACTTTCACTTTCCAGTTCTCAATGTGTCTGCGGATGGCGGCTCCTCTTTGGAACTGATTGTTATTTCTCCTGCAACACGAATTTTCAATAGTATAATTAAAAGAAGGAACCTTTACTAAAAGCATTACAGTAACCCCTAAAAACAGTAATCCTGTTTAACAACATAACCTCATTTGGTAGGGAGTGTACACTCATGCAAAAGGAATGCCGAAACACACTCAGCTCTTCCTGGTCTTCCTGGACCAACATTGAAAAAAACTTTGATTTTCCGCTACTTTGAACAACTTTTCTCAGATAAAATTTGATTGGATGAAAAACAAAAAGAGGGGCGAGATTCCCAAAATACTGATAAATTTTGATGACAAGTTCGAAAACTTGGATAACGGATTTGTTGGAAGTAAAAATTCTTCATCTGAATTGCCAAAACTAATTCTGGAACCAACGCCTGCTTAAAATTACAATTTTTCTTGTGATTTTTCCTTCCAAAAGACAATGGACAAGATCAATTGGACACAGTCCAATAACAATGACTTGGGAGACTGTGCAAACAATTGAACTTAATTATCAGCTGCAAATCTACTGCATCATTTATTTTTTTACCTCCTATACATATTTATTTTGAAGGTCAAATATAACCCTATTTTCAGTTTCCTTAAAGAACACAGTGATTTCTTAATCCTCTGAAAGCACCTGAAGGAGACTAATATTTAACCCCCTCTGAAAATGCTCAAAGGTTCCTCGACAAAAATGCCACAAGATGGAGGAGCTTACACCCCAAAATGTCCTGCTTCATTGAACTCACATAAAGAAACTTCACGTCAATTTTACTCTTGAAGTAATGGTCTGGCAAAACTCCTTATAGTTTTATAATTAAAATGTTATCCTTGCAACTGCTAAATAGTGTTAATTCTCTAACAGAGGAATGTTGATCCTACAGTTCCTCTTACGAGAGAATAAATTAAAGACATTCTCTTTTCCCTTTTAGAAAACAGACGTGCATCATTCCCTAACGGCAACGATGAGGAGGGCACCTGAATTATCAAAGTTCTTCCCCTATTGCCAACTATGATTGCTTAATGTGAAAATGCCACCAATCAAAAAAGTAGACGTTGAACTGTCTTTCTTAAATACCCTTCAAACATGTATCATTGTCTGGTTCTCAGAAAATATCAAGAGAGGGAGAGAAAATGAGGTTTTAAGCCAAGTTATGGCAGCCTTTGTGCTATGGATAGTCCAGATGTATTGAGTCTTTCCTTACCTCCCCTCAAGTACGTCATAATCGTTGACAAATTGCCAGCCTCTTTAACTGAAATTTGTTTTTTGAACTGCTATGAATTGGACCTACTCCATTCCGACATATGAAAATAGGAATATGAAGTGCACATCCTATTCCACTTGTGATTTTTTTTCAACTGTAACCATTGCAACTTTACTTATGTACGAGGGTCGTTCCGAATAAAAGTATCTTTTTGCCGTAACTTCTTTACTACTGCAAGAAATAAAGGTCTGAAAAAAACTTTTCATTGGTCATGATGTCCCCTTTCTTGCAAGGTTTTATTTTTCCTTTAAAATTTGGTTCTGCAGAATGTCAAAAAAGTTGTTTTTGTGAACTCACCTCCGGACCACTTGGGTCCAAAATTTCACGCTACCAGTCCATCCGAAATATGAACAAGACATGAGATAAAATGTAACGTTGGACAAGCTTATTAATCCCCTCAGCATACGACTCCTTATAGATGAACGAGATTTCTGGGTAACTCCATGATCCGATACGAAAGCCCCCTAGCTTGTGAAGCAATTTCACAAAAAGTAGCTGAAATACAACTAATACCACGCTGATGTCCACATTGTGGTGCATCTTTGGTGATCTTATAAAAAAGGAACCTTTAGCTAAGAATTGTGGCTGTCTGATGTTACAAAATCGTGATTGCGCTTTGACACCGAGTCGTTGCTGCGCCGATGTACCAACATGGAATTTTAAACCCGTTTGGTGGTGAGGTGGGTTCACAAAAAAATAACTTTTCTGCCATTCTACTGAAAAAAAATTTAAAATACTATAGCTCGTTAAAAAGCTGACATTATGACCAATAAGCGGTTTCTTACGGATTTTAATTTTATGCAGTAGTGTAGAAGTTTCAGCAAAAAGATACTTACTTTTGGAAGCCTCTTCTATTTAAAATCTGCCCCTTCTTTAATTTTTTAAAAATTACCACTCCTAAACTTCTGGGAGAAGTATAGCGGTTTTGCATTCAAGTTTGTTCTACTATTTCACCTTATTAACCATGAGCCTTGGCCGACTCAGAGAACTGACCCTGATAGTTGCAGGAAAGAGGTGATGAACAAAAATGTTTTGTCAGAAGCCTCAAGTATCCAACTTTTTTCTTTCTAGCATTTACTTTGGTTTCACATACCATTCATATTTACTTAGCATTAACATTGAAGGTTTCATTCATCGTTGTAACATTTTTCTTCATCAACTTGTTCCTGCAACAGTTCCACTATTCCGACCAAATCTAAACCAATCTTGTGATACGAAATGTGTTATCTACGGTGCAAATTTTAATTCCTAACCCTAGCTTCCCCCTCAGGAATGGGAAATATTAATACTGTGAGTAATTTCCACAATGTCTTACCCAGACATCATGGCTCCTGTGGAGGAATCGATGCAGGTGCTGGTTGCAGTGGAGGTTGTGGTAGAGGCTGCAGTGGAGGTTACTGTGCAGGTTGTGGAGCAATTATTTCGGTGGGTGGTTCTACATGCCCACGGCCCCAGCTTGTCCTCCTCCCACGCATTGGAATGTCTGAAAGAGAGAATCCAATAGTTGATCAAAAGATGAAATTTCATAAATAATTTGAAACAATAAAAGCACTTCGGAGGACCAGAGATAACTTCCCAATACTGCCTATTTTTCCTACAGTGAACGACTAATACACTTTCATGTTCTTTACGAAGTTGGAGGCAACTGGAAAATTATCTACTTTAAATAACATAACCTTTCAACTAATTATTTACTTGCTTAGGACACTAATTACTATCAGATGATTGTTAATGAGGTCATTCCATATAGAACCTACCAGCCATGCAACCGCCCGACTCAGATTTTGATGATAAATTTTTTTCTTGATCAGAACACCAAATAATGAACTTCTGCAAAATATTAGGTCTCAAATCAAAAAACTCACTGAGATATGAGTTTTTGAAGTTTTAAGAGTTTTCAAGAAAGTGACGTTTCGAACTTCCGAGAAAGAGAGGGTCATTTTTCCCTATAAAATTCACACCGGGCCCATTATTCGTCGGATTGAAGTGAAAATTTGACACAATGTCAATGAAAGTATGTATATTTGAGAAAAAAATGCATGAAATGTTCGACTTCACTCATTGATGTGCTGCCGTTGATTGTATTTGTTGTGATTTTGTCCGATTTTGGCGACAAAACCTTCCCCTCTTCAATTGCCCATAACTTTAGGGCTGCAGGTTATTTTTTGCTCCAATTTTTTTTAAAATGCTCCTAAGAGTATTAGAAAGACGCCTAAAGAACAATTCTGATGGTGTTTTGGAATTGCGTATCTTTTTTTTTCACTTTTGTCGAAAGAAGGCGTAAATAACTGAAAAAAACACCAAAATGATTCCGATAATCGTCCATTACCCTGAAAAGTCAACTCAAAAATCGCTCAATTTTTGCCTGAATGGTCCTTACTGTGTGTACAACAATATGTTTGAAAATACAATCAAGGCGCAAAAAAGGCGCATCGCGTTCCCCCGCGACCCTCTGAGAGCGGATGCGCCCTCGGTTGCGCTTGGCGGCTCGCTCAAGTGTGCGAGAGAGATATAAAATCGCCTGGCGACACGCTTGGGTGTGCGAGAGAGATATAAAATCGCCTGGCGGGACGCTTGGGTGTGCGAGGGAGACAAAAAACAGCCAGGCGGTTCATTCGAGTGTGCGAGAGAGATAGGAAATCGTCTGGCGGGACGCTTGGGTGTGCGAGTGAGACAGAAAACAGCCAGGCGGCTCGCGCATAAGTGCGGGAGAGAACGAAATACGCACGGTTGGACTTGCGTTGTTTTAACGGCAAAGGCGCATCGCGTTCCCCCGCGACCCTCTGAGAGCGGTTGCGCCCTCGGTTGCCCTGATCAAGAGGACCCGGTGCGAGAGAGACAGAAAATCGCCCAGGTACCAAGCGTATAAGTGCAAAAGAGATAGAAAATCGCCTTGCACGACGCGATTGTGTGCGAGAGAACCAGAGAATAGCAGGGCGGCTCGCTAAACTGTGCGAGAGAGACAGAAAATCGCCCAGGTAGGAAGCGTATAAGTGCGAGAGAGACAGCAAATAGCCAGGCGGGACTTGGGTGGTTTTTCCGTCAAGGCAGCATCGCGTTCCCCCGCGACCCTCCGAGAGTGGTTGCACCCTCGGTTGCCCCGTTTCCAGTGCGAGAGAGACAGAAAATCGCCCAGGTACCAAGCGTATAAGTGCGAGAGAGATAGAAAATCGCCTGCACGACGCGATTAAGTGCGAGAGAGACGGAAAATAGCCAGGCGTCTCGCTAAAGTGTGCGAGAGAGACAGAAAATCGCCCAGGTAGGAAGCGTATAAGTGCGAGAGAGACAGCAAATAGCCAGGCGGGACTTGGGTGGTTTTTCCGTCAAAGCAGCATCGCGTTCCCCCGCGACCCTCCGAGAGTGGTTGCACCCTCGGTTGCCCCGCTTCCAGTGCGAGAGAGACAGAAAATCGCCCAGGTACCAAGCGTATAAGTGCGAGAGGGATAGAAAATCGCCTTACACGACGCGATGGTGTGCGAGAGAGACAGAAAATAGCCAGGCGGCTCGCTAAAGTGTGCGAGAGAGACAGAAAATCGCCCAGATAGGAAGCGTATAAGTGCGAGAGAGACAGCAAAAGCCAGGCGGGACTTGGGTGGTTTTTCCGTCAAAGCAGCATCGCGTTCCCCCGTGACCCTCCGAGAGTGGTTGCACCCTCGGTTGCCCCGCTTCCAGTGCGAGAGAGACAGAAAATCGCCCAGGTACCAAGCGTATAAGTGCGAGAGAGATAGAAAATCGCCTTGCACGACGCGATTGTGTGCGAGAGAGACAGAAAATAGCCAGGCGGCTCGCTAAAGTGTGCGAGAGAGACAGAAAATCGCCCAGGTACCAAGCGTATAAGTGCGAGAGAGATAGAAAATCGCCTTGCACGACGCGATTGTGTGCGAGAGAGACAGAAAATAGCCAGGCGGCTCGCTAAAGTGTGCGAGAGAGACAGAAAATCGCCCAGGTAGGAAGCGTATAAGTGCGAGAGAGACAGCAAATAGCCAGGCGGGACTTGGGTGGTTTTTCCGTCAAAGCAGCATCGCGTTCCTCCGCGACCCTCCGAGAGTGGTTTCATCCTCGGTTGCCTTTGGCGTCTCCCTCAAGTGTGTGAGAGAGATAGAAAATCGCCTGGCGGGACGCTTGGTTGTGCGAGAGAGACAGAAAAAAGCCAGGCGGCTCGCTCAAGAGTGCGACAGAGATAGAAAATCGCCTGGCGGGAGGCTTGGGTGTGCGAGAGAGACAGAAAAAAACGAGGCGGCTCGCGCATAAGTGCGAGAGAGAAAGAATGTCGCACGGTTGGACTTGCGTTGTTTTTACGGCAAAGGCGCATTGCGTTCCCCCGCGACCCTCTGAGAGCGGTTCTCCTTGGCGGGACGCTTTAGTGTGCGAGATAGAAAGAAAATCGCCTGGCGGGACGCTTGGGTGTGCGAAAGAGACACATAACAGCCAGGCGAACACACATCCAAGAGTCAGTAAATCGGATTTAAATATGAATAGGGATGCCCACCAGTTAAGGGATACCTGCAGATTATTTCCTTCCTTTAAATACCGATCTGAAAGATAGGAGTGAAGGAAAAAACTACTACAACCAAGCATACACTATATTCACTTCTCAAGTTAGTATGCCTCCCATACAACAAGAGTCATTCGGTGAAAAATCTGGGCCCCCAATCAATTGCTTTTTTAATGCAATGGCCGGTTAATGAGATTTTCCTAGCGTTTTTTTCAGTCAAGCGAGCCTCTCTTGAGTAAAATTGTTGAGAGGAGGGTTGTGGAAACCGAACATAGCATCACTTTTATTCCCCAGATGCATTTCACATGCAGTTAGAACCATTTAGTAAAAATGTGAGCAATGTGAGCAATGTTTGAGTTGCTACTCCAAAGTTGGGGCCAATAATTGGCGTAATTTCAGTGTTTTTCAGTTTTGCGCGCCTTTTCGGCAAAAACTCGAAGTAAAAGATATTTAAACCCAAAATACCATTGAGTTTATTTTTCAAACATATTGTACACACAGTAAGGACCATTCAGGCAAAAAATGAGCGATTTTTGAGTTGACTTTTCAGGGTAATGGTCGATTATCGGAATCATTTTGGTGTTATTTTCAGTTTTTTACGCCTTTTTCGGACAAAAGTGAAAAAAAAAGATACTGAAGCCCAAAACACCATCAGAATTGTTCTTTAGGCGTCTTTCTAATACTCTTAGGAGCATTTAAAAAAAATTGGAGCAAAAAATAACTTGCAGCTCAAAAGTTATGGGCATTTGAAGAGGGGAAGGTTTTGTCGCCAAAATCAGGCAAAATCACAACAAACAATCAACCGCAGCACACCAATGAGTGAAGTCGAACATTTCATGCATTTTTTTCTCAAATCTACATACTTTCATTGACATTGTGTCAAATTTTCAATTCAATCCGACGAAAAATGGGCCTGGTGTGAATTTTATTGGGAAAAATGACCCTCTCTTTCTCGGAAGTTCGAAACGTCACTTTCTTGAAAATTCTTAAAACTTCAAAAATTCATATCTTAGTGAGTTTTTCGATTTGAGACCTAATATTTTACAGAAGTTCATTATTTGGTGGTCTGATCAAGAAAAAAATGTATCATCAAAATCCGAGTCGGGCGGTTGCATGGCTGGTAGGTTCTACATGAAATGACCCAATGATGACAAACCAGAATTATCCTCTTCTTCATCAGAATTGAAGGATGCAAGCATCCTGATGCTTGATGTTCAAGCATTTTTTACAACCTTCCTTTTCTAAGAAATCCTCAGAAATATCGCGATCCCAAAGTCAACCACAAATTGGGTACTTCCTTGAGAGAGAATATTTTGAAGGAGTGACTATGCATTCCGTCTCAAGTTGTGTCAACGTCATTTCCCCCTTCATGCTTTTCTATTAGTTACTGCCTTTCCACTGAAGTGCATCCCTTTGTGCCAAAAAAAACTGCAAAATACAACATGTGATTGGAAATATGAGTTTCTTTCAGTTACTTCCTCATCCATCACCGTGTTATCTACCAAATCTACCATGTATGATCACCAACTATTCCTATGTATTTTGAGCCGCTGAGTCCGAAAGTGACCTTCATTTTTCCCTGTCACCTCTCAGTTTTCCGGGAAAGCGACTTTTCCATGAAAAATGAGCAAATTTGAAGTATATTTTTCATGCATGCCATTTATTTGTTTAAATTTTCCTGGACCCGTGGTACAGTCATTCTTACGTGTTTTAAGCCGCTGAATCCGAATATGACCTCGGTTTTTTTCTATCACCCCCGAATTTTTCGGTAATGTCGATCTTTCAGGGCCTAAATTTGTGTATAAGCTTTCCCGGACTCAAAGAGGATCAAAAATGTATTTTAAACATGTCTGCGACGTGTGATACATCGATTCCTATGTATTTTGACTCGCTAAACCCGAATATGATCTTGGATTTTTCTGATCACCCACGATTTTCCTTAGAAAACTAACTTTCTAGGTGTTTTTTGGACGATTTTCCTGTTGTGAGGAGTCTAAGAAATTTTCTGAGATCCTCTCTGGATCTCTCCTGCTATATTAAGAGCAGCTGAATCCAAATTTGACCTCTATTCATCTTAGACAACCCCCCATTTTCTGGAAAGTCAGACTTTTCCGGGAAAAAAGCTTTTCCGAACCGTCTCCACCTCCAGTGAAATTTGAAAAAATTTCCGCAAGTGTGATACATCGATTATTATGTAATTGGAGCTGGCAAACCCGAATTTGACCTCAGAAATTCGTTATCACCCACCATTTTTATGGAAAGCTCGATTTTCTGGGAGAATTTTGTAAATATACCAAAAAAAACGTTCTCCAAGAAGAATCTACTTTACCGACAAAATGGAGGGTGCTAGGAAAAATTGGAGGTCATATTCTGATTCAGCATTTAAAACTACATAGGAATCTCCCCTTCACGGATCCAGGATAATTATTTAAATAAGACTTGCATGCCCGACTAAAATAAGTCAATTTAACTTAATCTCCCTGCAAAAAGTGTCTTTTTTACAAAACTGAGGGCTCATAGAAAAAAATAGAAGCCATTTCCGGACTCAGGGACTCACAATACCTAATGCATAATCTAATTTGTAGCCAGGAAAAATCTTACACACATTCCACAAGGTGTAACAGTCGCAAAAACGCCATAAATGGTCAAAAATAACCATTTTTTCCAAAAAATCGAGTTTCCCGTGAAAATGGTGGGTGATAACAAATTTCTGAGGTCAAATTCGGGTTTTCCAGCTCAAATTACATAAGAATCGATGTATCACACATGCAGAAAATTTTTCAAATTTCTCTGGAGGTGGGGACGGTTCGGAAAAGCTTTTTCCCCGGAAAAATCGGACTTTCCAGAAAACGGGGGGTTGTCAGAGATGAATAGAGATCAAATTTGGATTCAGCTGCTCTTAATAGGTACAGCAGGAGGGATCTAGATAGGATCTCAGAAAATTTCTTTGACTCCTCCCAACAGGAAAATCGTCCGAAAAACACCTAGGTAGAAAGTTAATTTTCCAAGGAAAATCGATTTTCCCGGAAAATCGTGGGTGATCGGAAAAATCCAAGATCATATTCGGGTTTAGCGAGTCAAAATACATAGGAATCGATGTATCACACGTCGCAGACATGTTTAAAATACATTTTTGATCCCCTTTGAGTCCGGGAAAGCTTATACACAAATTTAGGCTCTAAAAGATCGACATTACCGAAAAATTCGGGGGTGATAGAAAAAAACCGAGGTCATATTCGGATCCAGCGGCTTAAAACACATAAGAATGACTGCACCACGGGTCCAGGAAAATTTAAACAAATAAATGGCATGCATGAAAAATATACTTCAAATTTGCTCATTTTCCATGGAAAAGTCGCTTTCCCGGAAAACTGAGAGGTGACAGGGAAAAATTAAGGTCATTTTCGGACTCAGCGGCTCAAAATACATAGGAATAGCCGTTTTTCGTACCAGAGAAAAATTGTACCTACATTCTGCAGGGGGTAATAGTCGCAAAAACACCAAAAATGCCCGAAAATGGCCATTTTTCCGGGTCAAAGTGACTTTTTCGGAAAACTGGAGGGTGATGGGAAAAAACGGAGGTCATATTCGGATTCAGCGCTTCAAAATACATAGTTATCACCTTATCTCGTCCGGGAGACATTTGTGTCATTTTTTTTTGTTGCACAGCGTATCGAAGCGCCATAAAGTTATGCAAAAAGTTACGATCTTCGACGGGAGTTCGCTTCTCCCCCGGTTTTGCGTTTTTCTTCCCTGACTTTCCCGGTCGCTAGACACCCTGATGAAGGATTCCGTCCTGCGCTCGGCCGCCGCCTCTGACCTGAAAGTTTCAGCCGTACTTTCTCTGCGCTTGTAATTCTAAGTGCCAATATGTTTGGCTCAAAAAGTCAAGCAAAAATTAATCTATATCTTGTGGATCTGCTTTTTGTAATTCGAGAAATATTATTTCAGTTATCGGCGAAGGAAAGTGAAATTCTCAGTGGGGACTGGTGGCGCTATCTCTAATCTTGAATTATCCCTAATCAAACCCAGGATTCACCTTAATTGATGATATTCATTAAATCCAACCTCCTTCCTCCTCCAAGGAAAAAGTTGGAAAATTTCGAATTTCAAAAATCATTTCCTAATGAGTCTCAATAAATTTGAAATCCCAATAAATCTCAAATTTAGAATTACAAATTTAGAGACTTCCGTCAGTTGGAAAGGGATGGAGATGGTAGCGCGAGAAAGTAAAAACTTTTTCGTGACCGCACTTAGAATAGAACCCTAATACGTCAATCAATATCGTTCCTTCTGTGATTGACTGATTTAAAAGCAATATCATATCAGACTGTACATCCTTCAATGGTTGCTTTCCATCCTCCAGAGAAATTATGGTGTTCTTTGGGTTATTCACCTGTTGTGTTGTATGATTTATAAGAGTTGTTCCATTTTCAGAAATAATCTAGCTCTGATTATTTTCACATTTCCATCACACGAACCTTCCCACATGTCCTCGCTTGGAGGACTTTTTCCCCTCAGATGAGAAGACTTTGTTCCCAGGTGATAAAATCAAACATCAATTCAATTATAGTAAAGGGGGTGAATAACACTTTAATATATAGTGCTACGTTAAAAGTTAACTTCACATTTCATGCACAGTACATGTTTTGGATTTCTTAATGTTTTTGTTTGAGCCACTGTTGGATCGGCAGTTTGATATTGTAGTGAATGGCGTTTACCGCTGAACTTTTACTTCATCATTCGAAATAACATTCCAGAAAATTGACTAAAAAATAAAAAATGATGAAGGAAAAAAGTTTTGAAGGGTCATAAGAACTGACACATCAGCAGCCGTGTGTATGTGAGAAGTCTTAGTTGCACAAAATGCTATCATTTTCATATTCTCACTTGTTGACTTTATTCAGCTACAACTTAGAGAAATTCCGTCTCAAGAAAATATGAAAAACCATCTGAAAAATATATAATACAGTTCTCACACTTAATATTCACGTCCAACTGGATATTTGCATCTTCCAATTTATTAAGTTAGCAAAACAGACAAAAACCAAGCGAATAATTAACGCACGAACGAAATGTAGCTTCCGATTTTCCGACAACCTAAAAACAAACATTAAAACCATTAGTAAAACTACAAAATATGAGACAGTACTTGTAACCCCCACATGGAACTGCGTCATAAAGGTGTCTGAACATTGTGCTGCGTATTCTCTCATCTAAGAAGAGAAGAAAAGGAGCGAATCAAGATTCCTTTAGAAATCAAAGCAGACATTTATTGCAAATGGTGCTGGAGACAGACAAAAAATGATCATCATTCACCGAGCAGGAGGCTCATTAATTATCCTGAAGCTTCTACTGTCATCTAAGCAACGCCAACTATTTGATGCTGCAGTTTTTCACTGGTTACTGAAGTTCCAGAGGATACCCCTTTAGATTTAAAATCATCACTTCTCCTTCATTTAGATGATGCATCATGGAGAGACGAATCGAAGAACACTTTTTGTCAGTTCCTCAATTTCCAAGCACTCAGGAGGAGTGAGAGATTTTAGAGACAGGTATCAAAGAGGTACTAACATTGAAATTTAGTTACTCATATGGTGGACTCGATAGCTGGAAATGGGGTAAGGGAGTGAATGAAAAATTTGAATGATGGGTGAGGAAGGCTTAAAAATTAAGATAATAAATTTTTAAGTTTCTTCACTCATCTTAAGAGTTTTTCTTTGTCATTCCTGACTTGTAGTATTAGCTAGTAGTAATTGCTCTTGCTGTTAGCCACTGCCCACCAATTCAGGTATAAACTAAAAACTCTTCAAGATGAAAATTTTTAGACACGAAGAAAATTAACAACAAATAGGCAACAAAAGTTTTGCCTCACATGTCGCATTCCAAAACATTATGAGGGTGCTTGCAGAGGGTCGTGAAAAACAAATTCTCAATATTTCACCAAACAATCTCACCTCTAATCAACAAAATTGAAGGCAGCATTTTAATTACATTCTAG